ATCAAGTTCTTCCAGTTTGTGGAAAGTGCTCACATACATTAAATCAGAAGAAGGTGTTTGATGTTTTCTACGTGCCGTGTGTGAAGAAAAATTTGCTGTCTGTTGGACGTTTGACTGATTTAGGCCACTCTTTAACTCCAAGATTTTTTATGTATTTGATACAAGAAATTCACGTAGCATACTATTGCAGGGAGAATAGTATTCACGCAATAGTTTATACAAGCTAACTAAGTCTGGAGGTCTCTCACCAACCATCACAACGCCATCTTCTTCAACATAACTTCTTTGTTTCACTGAAGTTTGAAATATAGAAGAACCTAAACACGATCTTCAAACCTGTTCAGTCTCTCAGGTAGAACTTTGGCATCGTAGGATGGGTCATGCAAACTATAAAAAACTCCAATTGATGGCCTCTAAGAAGTTGGTTGTCGGAATTCCTCAAATACGTCACATTAGGTCTTTGTGTGCTACTTGTCTGAAAGCAAAGCAAAGTCAAGATCGTATCCCCAACACTCTTAAACTCAAACAACCCGTCCATTACAATTATTGCACTTTGATTTATGCGGGCCTCTCCCTTCTGAATCCTTAACAAAGAAACGATGTTTACAGATGATTTTACGAGGTATATTTGGATTTATTTTCTGAGGACTAAAGATGAGCCACTACAGCAATTTCAGGAATTCAAAGTTATGGTGGAGAATACTTACATTTACAAGATTGCAACACCACGAACGGACAGAGGGGAAGAATATCTCTCCAAGGCATATCATGCATTTTGCGTAAAATCAGGTTTTCATCATGCCTTAACTTGTGCTTACACTCCACATCAAAATGGTGTATCTGAACAAAAGAATAGGACTGTACTTGAGATGGTCCAAAGTTTAGTACTTTATGCTCAATTATCTTAGGCTCTCTAGGAGGAGGCAGCAAGTACAGTTGTGTATATCTTAAATCGGCTGTCGAAAAAGGCAGTGCAGATGGCAACATCCTCAGCAGTTGACAAGTCTCATTCCGAATGTAAAGCACTTTAAAGTTTTTGGATGTGCACCTTCTATACTTCTTACAACCAAGTTCGACAAACTTTCTGCTAGATCCATACTAGTTACTTTTATAGGTTATGATACTCAGTCAAAAGCCTACCGTGTGTATGATATTGTTAATGAAAAAGTGTATATCAGTAGAAACGTAAGATTTAACGAGTCTGTTTTTGGACTCGCAGCTCGACATGATCCTGAACTTGTTGACGATTTGGATATACTACTTCCTCAAAAAATAAAACCTCAATCAAAACCTTCCATTGTCAATGTTACCTCTGAGAATGCTCTACCTACTGACGCTACATCTCACTCATTTTCTGAAACCACACCTTCTCAAACTATAGCTCCGTACATTCTGGAATTCACTATATCAGATGTAGACACAACATCAACATCTCCTTTTTCTTCTTCAGTTTTATCTCTCCCACCTCCACCAGATGAACCCACCGTTGAGAGTGAATGGTTTGAAACTCCTACTGTTGATAGCACTGACATAAACACACCAACTAGTTCAGACCCTATTATAGAAAATATGCCGAACAGTCGGCCCATCACATCTCGCTCAAGACGTCCTCTTGCATACTGGAAGCACTATGTAAGTTATAATGTCGGGATTCCTGGAAATACATTTGACTGTAATGAAGTTGAGCTTACCGACTTTATGGAAGAGCAACTCACCTTCAACAAAGCTTTTAAGACACTTGAATGTCACGCATCGATGGTTGATGAGTTGAACTCAATCCATAAAAACCGTACCTGGACCCTGGTTAGATTACCACATGGAGCAAAGTCAATTACATGCAATTGGGTATTTCGGGTCAAAGAAGCCTAGAACGGTTCTATATCTTGTCTTAAATCTTGTCTTGTAGCAAGAGTCTTCTAACAAAAAGAAGGTAAGGACTACACCAACACATTTGCTCCCGTCGTGAAGTGGTCAACGGTTAGATCTGTATCCGCCATTGCCGGTGCATGCTAATGGCCAATTTATCATCTAGTTGTCAAAACCGCCTTTTTAAACGGTGTTATCTCAAAAAACGTTTATGTACATCAACCACCTGGTTTATTAGAAAAGATCTTGAGTATTTTGTGTGTAAATTGAACAAAGCGCTTTACGATTTGAGACAAGCTCCAAGGGCTTGGTACGGATGTATTGACTTATACTTAAGAGGAGCAGGCTGGACACGTTGTCACTCAGGTCCTAATCTTTATGCTTTAAAGGAGAATTGTCTCATTGTTATTTTGATGCTTTATGTAGACAACATGTACATAAAAGCAAACAATCAATTAAAAATCTCTGAGATTAAGTCGGATCTAATGCGTCAGTTGAAAATGAGTGATTTAGGTGAAATTCAGAAATATTTAGAAGTTGAGTTTTCTCAATCATCACAAGGGTTATTACTTCATGAGAAGTCATATATCACAAAAGTTTTAAAGTAGTTTAGTATATTTAACTATATGCCATCTACTTAACCAATTGATGCTGGACATTACTTGAAAGAATATACTAACATTCCCTTTGTAGATACTACTTTTTACAAAAAACTAGTTGGCCAATTGATGTTTGCTACTAACTCTAGATTTGATATTTGTTTTGCTGTGGTACAACTCTCACGATTTATGACAGTACCTCATGAATCTCATCTAGATATTGGCTTCCAAACCTTGCAGTACCTCAAGGGTACCTTAGACCACGCGATATTGTACAAATGAGTAATTTCAATACAATTGTAGGAATATACAGATGTCACGTAGGGCTCTTGCCATGACACATTCAAATCTATAGGTGCTTAAGTATTTACACTCGCTAGAGGGGCAGTATCATGGTGGTCCAAGAAGCAAAATCTTATCTCACTCTCTTTTATAGAGACTGAATATAAAGCCTTGTCTTTTGGTGCACAAGAAGCTGTTTGGCTATGTCAACTTTTACATGAAATAAACCCAGTTACAATTGCAATGACATCAACTCCTCTCTACTACAAGGACATCAAGATCACTTCTACACTTCCCACTTCTAGTTCACTGACTGAATGCACAATAGTTCACTATGACAATGAGATTGCTATAAAACTTGCCAAAATCCAATATTTCATGCAAGAAGGAGGCACATTGGTATCCAACATCATTTTGTCAGGGAAAAGATAGCTTTGAAGGAGATTGAAGTTCGATTCCTCTCCACAAAATTACAGCCAGCAGATATGCTGACCAAGGCTCTTTCTAGGCTGAATTTTAATCAGCACATGCATTATCTTGGACTACCAAGTATGGAATCGCCACCTGAAAATCTCTTTATAAATGATAGATGAAGAAGAATTAGAGGTAGAGAATTAGTTTTTTTTAGAACTTACCTTATGCACTCTAGAGTAAGGGAGCGTGTTAGAATAAGTTAGATACTCTGAGTGCTAAATACAGTGTCCAAAAGCAATGGACACACCTTATTTATTACTGTTGTAGACGACACTACACTATATGTACAAGCACTACTACTGAGTAAAACAGTCTTCCTGATAATAAATCAGAAATTCCAACACTCTTGGGGTGGTAGTAAATCTAGCGATTATAGTGTGATAGATACGTAGCACATACAATCCAGTGTCTCCTGTAGTTGGGTCTTGCTGATCGACATTTTTGCCTCTGGCGATGGCCAACTACATCTCCTTTTTGTTGTTGAGCCCAACACATTCATAGTATGTTAAGCCAATAATCTTCTCCGCAAAGACATCCTCGTCCTGCATTGGAAATCACATGATTTAGTTGACATCACTTTCACGATCAGGTTTCTCCCCAAAATATAAAGCCATATCATGGTGCTACTATGATCGCCAAGATACACTCGAGATGTGCATTTGAATTTCTTTGACTTTTGTATTTTTGTCGTGAAATATGAGGAAAGCGGGAATCAAGCTTGTTGATGGTTTCTCCTTCTAAGAGTGCTTTACTTTCATAGAAGTATATATTTTGATACATTAAATATATGTATTGTAATACGGGCATGCCTTTTGACCTTGAAAGGGGGCATGGTCATGGGGTGCCTAGGCATGGTTGAATTAAGCAACCTTATATACGGTCGCCTAAATTACCTAAACTTTATGTTGAGTAGGGGACTAAATTAAGGTAGGTGTGATTTGGCGTTTACATGTTGTAACCAATGGATAGTGGACACATATGCAGAATTGATGGATTTTTTTATTTTTTAAAAAAATTAATGTAAATTTTTTTTATAAAAAATGAAATTATTTCTGGAAAAAAATTTTAGTCAACTAAATTAACCTAAAATAAAATTTTAGAAGTTAAATTGGTCTAAACTACCTTCTAAGTATACTAAATTAGCTTAAAGTAACATTTTGAAGAGACTAAATTTGCCTAAATTAATGTTTTTTGAGTAGACTAAAGTAATTCTTTCGAGGAGACTAAATTATATGTGTTTAGTTAATTTAGGCGAGTGATTATAATATCCATGCCTGGGCATGACTGAAAAATATTTGTTGGGCGTCCAACCCTAGCTGTAAGGCACGTGGTAGGGGCGCCCTCGCATACGGTCATGGCACGGCCGAGGTGGAACTGGAACTGCGACCAGGCGTCGCGCCCGACGTCGTAGGCGTCGAGAGTCGACACGTCGCAGCGCTCGTGCTTGGCGCACTTTTCGAACCAGGGCCCGAGCAGGACCTGGAAGGCGTCGCGCGGCCGGTTGTCGACGAGCTTCATGACCTTGGCCCAGAACAGCGCGGGGCCTTTCTCCTTGAGGTGCAGCGGCAGATTGAGCAGGCGGTGCAACTGCGTGAACGGGTTCACCAGGTAGATGATCTCGCTCTTCTGCTTGGGTAGGGCTCAGCCGTCATCTGTTTTCGCGAAAGTGTCAATTCGCGAAAAGGGCGGGGTCTAGGGTATTGCCTTGCAGGAACAGGAGGAGCGAGAGCGAGGGAGCAGGGCCAAAGTCCAAAGGAGGGGAGGCAATCGGGAGCATATGAGTCTCGTTGTCGACGATTAGGGTCTTTTGGGAACGAAACTCTCCCTGACGAAACTCGTAAGCCCGCCACGATGGTGCTCAAGACTGAGATGTGCCGCTTCAGCGGAGCCAAGATTTACCCAGGAAGGGGTATCAGATTCATTCGAAGTGACTCGCAGGTGTTTCTCTTCGTGAACTCCAAGTGCAAGCGATACTTCCACAACAGGTTGAAGCCATCGAAGCTCTGCTGGACCGCCGTCTACAGGAAGCAGCACAAGAAGGATTTGACCTCGGAGGCGGTGAAGAAGAGGAGGAAAACCACCAGCAAGCCCTACTCCAGATCTATCGTCGGCGCTTCGTTGGAGGTCATCCAGAAGAAGCGAACGGAGAAGACTGAGGTCCGTGCTGCAGCTCGCGAAGCTGCCCTCCGCGAGATCAAGGAGAGGATCAAGAAGACCAAAGATGACAAGAAGGCGAAGAAGGTCGAGGCCGTGACCAAGACCTCGAAGGGAAGCAACAAGCCCGCAGCCACTAGGGCAGCGGCTCCTAAGGCTAAGTCTACAGGCGCTGGTGGCAAGCGTTGAAGATCTCAACCGGTTTGAAGAGTTGAATCTTGCTTAGTTTTGCCAGGACCTGGACCGATTTCGATTTCTAGGGAACCTTGAGTAAATGTCATACTGTCACCATAGCTGTAACCAATTTTTGAACTTTATAATTGATATGGAATGTTGAGTCTCACCCGGCTTTTCTAGGACCTGTACGTACTTTGCTTCCTATCGCCTGAGTGTTTGTCATACCGTCACAAGATTTGTATCCGAGGTAAGTCTACGTCGTTAGAGTTTAGGTTTTGCTGAGTTTTTGCAGAAACCTAACATTCATCGAGGATAGTTGATGAATATGTGCCTTGTAGCCGCCATCAGATTCGCTGCACCAAAGTGATAAATCGCCCCGTAGATCAGAGGATTTTTTTGCCGAGCTTTATTCGCAGTCACCAGTAACCAGCCTGTGTGAAGCTTGAATAGAATAGCTTCACTAGAAGCTTGTGTGTGCATCTATGTGGTTATGGATATTATCTGGAAAAGCTTACTCCTGATTGGCCTCGTATACGTGTGATTGATGCTAGTCTCGAGGAGGATCTGTGAGTCCGTGATTTGCATTCTGACGACGAATTTTAGTGTGATTGGTCGGAATGACGCGCGGTATTCGAAACCCTAATTTTTGTTCTGTCCTGTACGTGCCCAAACACGGTATACGCCCTCACGCTGTTTTGTGGTTCAAAGTAGTGGAATATGCCAGAAGATCTTACTCGTGATTATGGAAGCTTATTCTGTGAGCGTGTGTCGATATCGCCTCCACGATTTGCCTATGTAATTTATAACGAGGGAGAAAGGTACCTTTCCAGCTTTAAGTTCCGGTGTCAGACCCTGACGAGAAGGGCTAATTGTTAAGTGCATCAGTTCCCATACACCATTCTAGATTCCTGGGATGTTAGTCAAGAGCAATTGTGCTCTTTACGTAAACATTTCCCGAAGCCATCTTCAAGAGCAGTTGTTAGAATAGCTTTTCATATGAAGAAAGCTATCATAAAAGGCCTCCCTCGCTCGCGCATACAAACATCAGACCATCCAAACCATGAGTTTCTGCCACTGGTTATGTTAGAAGTCGCATCGGGATACGCAGAATTCACAAACTGGCCATAAACCTGTTCATCGAATTATTCACGTTCTCTTAAATTAGTTTATTCTTCTCAACAGAGGCAGTCTCTGGAGAAAGTTACATTCGACTATCCCTCACGAATGTCTGGAACCTCTCTAATCCAACCTCTTCGATCCAATTGGCAGCAGTTGTAGACAAAGACGTACGTCCGTATCCTACGTTGGTTGATATGTGTCATAACGGTGGAAGTTCAATCAACCAGAGGAGTGCAAAATCCTCGCGAATCTACAAATGGAGCTTATTCGGATGCTATGAAAACGAGTAAATGAATCTATCTATTCTATCAATCTGTCAAGAATGTCGTGAGACTAAAATTCCCCGACCTGCTTCTAATTGAATTAATCTACAACGTGTCGAGTCTTCGGAAGAACTTATTAATTTATAAACTGACATGTATTGCAGATTTCACCCTCGGTGCCAGTGAGCACACAAAGGTTTCCCACATTCACCAAGCCAGCGGCAAATTGTGCTAAGAAGCTTGAGCGAGGTTTGGAGAAAGAAGTGACGACTTTCTTGCCTACAGGGTTGATAATGAGAGTGGAGTCGATAATGAAAATTCCCTTGCCCTGCAACACATTTTTGTAGTAAGCTCTGTCGAAGGTGTTTGCCGTGGAGTATAATAAACACTGTATGATGATCATGTCGAGTACTTTACCATACCGTAGATGCAAATGTGAGCCAAATGTAGAGTGAACATTTCTCTTGAAATCAGGCGAGGTGTAGAGTGAAGATCGTACACGAAGAACCGAATATATACGGATGTACACCACTGGGACATGAATCCAGCACGTAATATTCACTACATTCAATCATTACCCACTACATTCATATACATTGATATAACCCAAAGAATACATGCTCTTTAGTAGATGAGAAGGTATAGACCAGTGAGTACCAACACAACTGTTAGGGCCACCTTAGATTCACTAATCTACATTTGACAAGAACTATTCAGTAAACAAAGCACAAATGAGCGTGATCTTGTTCGAGTGGACAAACTGTTGACACAGACAAATCACTTCATTCACATGTTCAAACTGACGTGAATCACAGTCACGTAATAGAAAGTAGAGGGTGTGAAACACAAATCTTAGAGTGAAGGTGAGGTTACCTATCTAAAAGGAGAGAAAGATGCGGTTGGAGCAAAAAATGTATTTGCCCCCAAAAGTAACACAATAGCTTCCTTACTGGGAAAGGTTGGTTTCTCCCACACATTTTAATAGTCCATCGACATCATATGTACCTCTATATAAACAGATTAGTATTCTGATGGCGTGTCAAGTCAGTTTGACACATTTTGGTGGTCATATAATAAGACTCGCACTGTAGATGACATGTCAGTCCGCTAGTGAAAATTCCTGAACTTTGTTTTTCCGTCTTTGTTTTACAACGTTCATTCCACTTCCATATCTGTACACATCCTTCACGTCAGACTTCTAAAGTGGAGTTAATAAAAAAATCTTTTGATTGGACGGGTTTGTTGGGAAACTGAGTTAAAAACTGATTGTATGCTGTTAGTGCTCGAAAATTTGTATATGTTTCCTAATAAGTCATATTTTTTATGTTAAGAAATTTAAGTGAATCCATTTACTTCATTACAACAATGGTGAAATGTCGAAAAGGTGATGGAAAAACTGCTTCCCCCAGTTTTTCCATCACCTTTTCGACAGTTTCCCGCATTTCCCCGAAGATCCGTCCGGCGGTTCTAGCCGTTGAGAGAAGCATGAACTTTCAAACCTGTCGAGCAACGAACGGTCCTCTCGCACGCTCGCTTCCTGCACGCGCAGAGCGTTCCTTGGGCTTCAGAGCAGAGAGGGTACAGGACGCGATGCCGATGCCGGAGTGCATCGGAGCCTGCGAGCTGCAAAACTCTCACTCGTGTGCAGAATGTGGCGGATTGCCTGACGGTGACGAAGCTGTTGTTAATGGGTGCATTTTCATCGACGAATGCGCATTCATTTTCCTGGGGCCTAGGACTTCAGGCACCAGTGTCCACTTCGCTGCGGACGACTTGTGTTTGAATCTTTCAGGAGCTGCGTTCCTCCTGAGAGCGAGGGCAGTGTCGAATGATTGAAAATTACGCGTCGAGAAGACGAACCTCCGCACCGCTGTGCAGTATTCTACGTCGTTCCTCTCGTTCTGCGCAATCTTGTGATGTATATGAGCTGCAGGTCGAGACAGTTCTGTGAAAGAGCCCGGAGACACTGATCGCGTACTAGAAAACTTGCTGCCGCAGATGGATGAAACTTGTCGTGGCCAGAACGGCCGAAGTCCCGGAGGTGTCTCGGAGGCGGAGATTTACAGCAGCCCCGCGTCCCGAGCTCGCTATGAGGCGTACAGCAGATTGCAAGCGAGTGCGGTGGCCTTCGGCGAGTACCTGCCCATTCCAGAAATTGTCGCCGTCGGAGGACAGTCGGATGGGAAGAGCTCCCTCCTGGAAGCGCTGCTGGGATTCAGGTTCAATGTCCGGGAGGTGGAAATGGGCACGAGGAGGCCGCTCATGCTCCAGATGATTCATGACCCCGGCGCTCTCGAGCCGCGGTGCCGGCTGCAGGATGAGGACTCGGACGAGTATGGCCCTGCAATCGTCCCAGCATCGGCTGTGGCCGAGGCCATTCGATCGCGTACGGAACTGTTTCTCAAGAGGACAGGCACGGCAGTGGCCTCCAAGCCCATCGTAATGCGCGCGGAGTACGCCTTCTGCTCGAACCTGACCATCATCGACACGCCGGGGTTCATCCTCAAGGCCAAGAAGGGCGAGTCCGAGAGCACGCCCGACGACATCGTGGCCATGGTGAGGGAGCTGGCCGCGCCGCCCAACCGCATCCTCGTCTTCCTCCAGCAGAGCAGCGTCGAATGGTGCTCGTCCCTCTGGCTCGACACCGTGCGCGCCATCGACCCGGCGCTGCGGCGCACCATCGTGGTCGTGTCCAAATTCGACAACCGCCTCAAGGAATTCGCCGAGAAGTGGGAGGTCGATCGGTACCTGAGCGCCGGAGGCTACCTGGGCGACAGCACGCGGCCCTTCTTCGTGGCGCTGCCCAAGGAACGATCGTCGGTCTCGAACGAAGAATTTCGCCGGTCGATCGCCCGAGTGGACAACGAGGTCGTGCGGCATCTTCGTGAGAATGTGAGCGGCGGCTTCGACGAGGATCAATTCGGCGATCGCATCGGCTTCTCCAACCTGCGCAGGTTTCTCGAGGCCGAGCTCCAGAGGCGGTACAGGCAGTCTGCGCCCGCCACTCTGGCGCTGCTCGAGCAGCGCTGCGACGAGGTGGCGGCCCGGCTGGCCTCCATCGACGCGCGCCTCTCGAACTCCGCCGACGTCGCGTCGCTGCGCCGCGCGACGATGATGCACGCCGCGGCGCTGGGGCGGCAAGTCGTGGCGCTGCTGGACGGAGTGGCCGAGCCCGACCCGGCCGAGTGGGGGCGCACGACGTACGAGGAGCGCACCGAGAGCCGCATCACCAAGTGGCCCGGCGTGGCCGGCGACGTGCTCCCGGCTAACGCCGGTCTGCGCATGTACGGCGGAGCCGCCTTCGAGCGCGTGCTCGAGGAGTTCCGCTACGCCGCCTGCTCGCTGGACTGCCCGCCCATCTCGCGCGTCGAGGTGGCCAACATCCTGTTAGCGCAGGCCGGGCGACCCGGCGCGGCGGCCGCGGCCATCTCCATCGCCCGGTCCGCCGCCAAGTCCTGGCTCAGCCCGCTGCTCGACACGGCCTGCAACCGGCTGGCGCACGTGCTCTCCAGCCTCTTCGACCTGGGCCTGGAGCGCATCCGCATCGAGGACTCGTACCGCGACTCCGCGTCCTGCGACCGGCTCGAGATCAACCTTTCGGGCTACGTCGCGTTCCACGCCGCGCTGCGCCGGGCGCACCAGCGATTCATCCGCGACTCGAACAAGCGCTGCAAGGAGTCGGTGCGCGAGCAGCTGATGGCCGTGACGAGCTCGTACATCCATCAGCTGAAGTGCGGCTGGGAGAGCAACGCCACGGTTTTCTCGTCCCGACCCGGCACTGGATTCTCGCAGAATTTGTCTGCGCCTCCTCTTTGCCTCGACGGCAGCGACGGCATCGAGCCTGGGCTTCTGGGTGCGTTTGCTGAGGCGGGCGACGAAGAGAATGTGCCTCCTCATGGATCGCAGACTGATAATCGCATGAATGTGGATATCGTCAGTCCAGGGAAGGGCGAGAGGCTCATGGTGAGGGAGAGCCAGATGACAGTTCCGGACACGCCATCCCCCGACCAGCATCATGCCAAAGAGGCAGCCTGCGCTGCCAAAAGGAAGGAGTTCGCTCTGAACAACAGCAGGTTCGTCGCTGCAGTCGGAGGCGGAGATCACCGCAAGAAGAAGGGAGTTGGGAGTCGACTGACCTTGCAACAGGCGAATGATGGGCGGAGCTTGAACTGTGGAAACAAGACAGATCCTTATACCGAAGTCTGCACCATGGCCACCGAGCACTTTGGGAAAATTCGTGATATGCTAGTCAAGCGTACTGTCCCATTGACACTCAACTCTGGCTTCTTGAACCCCATCCGCGATCGACTTGCTGGGGAGGTCGCCGTGGAGCTCTTTGCAACGACGGACGAGCGGTTTATGGAGATGTTTGTTGCTCCAGAGGCCCTTGAAAAACTACAGAAAGAGCGAGATGTTTTGTACAAGCACTGCCTCACTCTCTCCAATTGCCTGGAGGAGTTTCGAACTTTGGCTTGCTCTCTGTGAGGCGCAAACCATGTCAATAGCAGTAAATTTTGTGTACATAGCTCCTTAGTTGCTCTAATCGGGTCTGTAAAATTAGATACCATTTCACTGCTGAACATTGCCTGGATATAAGGTTCCTTATTCAACTCAGGTTGAACCGAGATCGACCAAGTAGCCACCAATGATGCCCCTGATTGCAATCTCTGAATGTGATGCGGAAAATTCAACATCTTTCCAAAAAATTTGGACAGAGGATCTTACACTGCAGGCCTCGTAAGCGTACTGCCGCGCAACATTTGGACAATTGTGTTGGGGAGCCTCAGCAGCCGTTATTTACCAGACAAGTGATAATATATATTTGACCTTGTTTTATACAGCGGTTAATATTGAAAGTTAAACTTGATACTTCGTCGAAGAATTCTACGCCAAAATCTCTCTGTATCAAGACTCTCACACTATGAAGACACATCAAAGGCAGTTTAATCTCAGATGTACGGATTTGACTCGCAGTACGGGTCATATTTTCACTGAATCTGGCATCTCTTTGGCACTTTGGAATCACCACTCGTGATGTGCTCCGTTCCATTTTTAATTACTGGAGTAAGTGCTTCCTCCACAACACTGACATGACATGACAGGTGACCATTTCTCCTTCCCTCACAACCAAGCGGATGAAACCATCTCAAACAGTTGAGGGAAGGCGAATCGGCCCATAGAGAAAGTACTGTATGCATCTGCTTCTGATCAACTCCTTCTCCAATCTACTCTCCTCATATATATTATTGAAAGGATACAGTCAAACGAAATCAAATGGTTTCAAGAGCAATGGAACAGTCAGTTGTGAAAACAACACAATACAATCAGCTAAGCAATATTATTGGCACATTGGCAACCAGAAAACGCTTCGTCTTCGACGAGAAGTCAAATGTGCATTAAAACTTCACTAAGCATTAAGGCTCTAAGTTTATATTTGACTAGCTGTGCATTAGAGGGCTACAGATGAAATGACCATGATGCAATTAGTAATGTATTGTTTGTTCTTGCATGTGCATGTACTTCTTCATTTGGAGTGAGATTGGTTTTGATAGCATGCAAATAATGTTTCTACATAAAAAATATCAATATTTCATTCGAGAGGTACAGAAATTTGTTATGAAAGTCGTTGTTATTGTATCTACACATACGATAGTTTGAAAAATACGAATTATTTATCATCATGAATGGGTGGCAAGTGGAACCACATCAGTACAAGTTTCAAACTGTAAAGCTACAAAAAATAATTCATGTTCTTGTTTCTCTTGCCTCGAAGTTCCACAGTACTATAGACGTTGAATTCCAGGAGATTCCACGTTACTAGACATGAGATCTTTAGGCCTTTTGCGTAGCATAACGTAGTAAATACGTCTTCATTCCCGCAAAGACTACTAACTAATGATATTCACAAGAGAACAATAATTTAATGTGAATTTCCTCGGGATGCTCATGGTGTTTGGGTACATAGATGTCAAATGCATCAGGAAATACTGAGAAGCCATTCGTACCTAGGACCATCTGACCCTTGGATTCATCCCCATCCGACTTGATCGGGTTTCTCATATTTTGACATTTTGATATGAGAATATTCTCAGATCAATCGACGAATATTTCTCATATTCACCGACTAATATTTCTCATATTAATCGGTGCCCATTCCATCAGAGCTCAGAAGAACGAGTTAGGAGACGAGGATGAACTCAACAAGAGCAGCAGTCTCAAGGGGAGAAGCAACGTCGTCAGGCATACAATACAACGGTCGTGGCCAGACAGGGGGCTCTCACTTGTCGAGAGGTCTGTTGAGAGGCCGCGGTGCATGACTCGCCGTGACGGGGAAGGGCGGGAGGACGGTCTATGGAGATGCCATCTTCGTCTTCATGTTTCATTTTCTCTTCTCCTCTCGTTGACTAGGGGTGCTCCGCGTCTTTTCTGTGTTGCCACGGGCGATGAAGTTGGGTCATTTTTTTGAGCTTGTTTCGTCTGTCACCTGAATTTGAGGGCTCTGCTTTTATCAGAAGGTGGTGCTTCAGGAATCCAGAGGGTAAGAATTCGATCATTGCTTGTTGCGATACGGCTGGCAAGGCATATTTGGTACGTAGTGTATTTCCATGAATTTTGCTCAACTGAGACGTGGTCCGCTTTTGCCTCTCTTGCTCCATGGAGATGCCACTGGAGCGATTGCGCCAATTTGTCATCGTCTAGGGTGTGGGGAATGGGCAATTATGACCACCGCTGCAGTGAAGATTAAGCGGAGCCCGAGTATAATGTGGTTATAAGGGTAGCTGCGTTATTGAAGCTTCAGAATGACCCACTGGAATATTTCATGAAGTTTGAGATGGTAGCTATGTTTACTTCACCACGGTGAGGATTACAGTTTCTCCTGCGTAGTGATTTGAATTTTGCGATGCTGATTTTGCAGACCAATTCTCTCCAATCTGGGAAGCTAGATGCGAGGAGGTTTGCCCTTTCGAGGTTCCTACCGGCCAGGATGATGGACTCGTGCTAGAGAGGCAGACTGCCACTTGCATCGCTACCTCCCTGGGCATGGAATATTGCTCGTATAAGTCCGTGTGTGCCCCTTGTTAGGTCAAAATCTCGCATATCATCCACAGCAGAGTGGTAGTCATGGAGGACGTTCAGCAAAGAAGACAGCGGTTGGCGGCTATGAGGGAAGAAGCTGCCATGGAAGAAAGTGTAGATGCTATCGCTCCCGGTACAACTCTTGCACCGGGAAATTCCCTGACCCTTCCCAACCCTATGATGGACTTGCCACCCGGCACGGCTGTTGGCCCCCCGACTAAATCTGCTGGTTTCGATTTTTACACTGATCCATTGACAGCGTTCACCAATGCGAAACGAAGGAAACCAGCAGTTGGAGCAGGAGCACCAGGAAGAGCTCCATTGTATGGGCCAGGAGGCGTGCAAGCTCCTCCATGGCAACCGACGCACGGTGCACCACCATTCTTTCAACCTCCTCCGATGCATCTTGCCCAACCACCACCACCACCATTTTCTGGAATTCCTGGATGGCAACCCATACCGTACCAGCCTCCTTTCATTGCTCCGGGGCCCTCTCCTCCTCCTGCATATCCAATGGGTCAGCCACAAACTTTATCCCCTCACTCGCATGGACGAGGAAGAGATATGAACGTCGGAGGAAGGGGAAGGGGTTTGGACAGTCGCACGGGAGGGAGGGGAGGTTATGGCAATAATTTTCCTGGACCAGGTAGTGGCTACAGCAGCAGCAACAACTCAAATGCCTGGAATTCCGGACGGGGTGCACCCTACAGTGGTGGATACTCTGCTAGAGGAGGTTCTGCAAGGGGACAAGGTAGGGGAGGACAGAGAGGAGGAAGAACATCGTCAGCAAAGGAGCAGCCACATTTGTTTTTCAAGAAGTCTATGGTGGAGGATCCTTGGAAGCAGCTAGAGGAGAAATTTTCAAGGACGAGAAGTAACTGAAATGGAGTTCTGGATTCTAGGCTGTAAAGTATATCTTTCTTGAAATTTGCAACTCAATAGCGGTTCGTGCGCAAGAAGAATTTCCTCTCATCCGACACTGTCGTGAGTTCTAGGTCATAGAACAGCGAGTGGCCCCCACTAAATCTTCAACGACTCGATGCTTGCAAGATTCACGAGGAGAGTTTCGGATGGAGAGGTTTGTCATCTTTGGTAACTGAACAGGCTTTGTCCTTCAAAGTTTGAGATAGAAATTAGAACACGGATAGAGACGAAGGGTGATACGCTTTCACAACAATAGAGTTCCGCCCACAGTATAAACGACTTCTATTGCCGCTCTGGGCATAGGTGAGACTACCCTCACATCCAATTTTGTGCCGCTTTACAGAAATTTCTGTAGCTAAAACTCTTAATTCTTTAGTCCACGGTAATTGACTCGAGTCGCATTTCTTTTTTCTCCAAGCTTGAGAGCATGGTCGATTCTGTGGCTCGTCGCTGAATCTCAATTCCGAGCCAGATAATGCAGTACGTTAAAAGCACTGAAAGTGTCAGCTTCATTTGCAAGCCAGGACTAATTCTCTACACTTCAACTCAGGTTGCTCTCGTCATCAACTGAGCTCGCCGAAAGCTTCTATATCCCTTGGCCCGTGATTACGTCGACTTTTGGCAGGCCTGATATTCTGTCAGCAATGTAATGACTCTTGAAGTGTAGCGTAGGTTGGTGTGTGCTTCAATGCAAAAGCTTGAAGGAGAATTCAACCAAAAGAACCATGTCAAGCAGTCATGGTAAGTCAACTTTTATGTAAAGATGGGACACAAATGAAATCCACCTCAGGACATTGGGTCCCCTTTAATATATTGCTCTTTGAAAGTGCTTCCCAATGAAGAGAGCAGACTGTACACCATGAAGTTTATTTGCTTGACATAAGCTTTAGAGATTCTGACACTGCGTGAAGAGAACCAGTAATACATATAACTCCTTTGGTGCCATTTCTCACGAGATGAACCATATAGACAGCTCTCGCAACTGCAGCTTCGAGATCTTCCGCTTCATCTACAAATAACGTCTCTTCTCCCTCTGCTTTGATTTCAGCAACGTCTTGGAGTCCATAAGCAGTTTCAATCCCCAGGTCTTCTGCCGCTTGCTCAAAAATGTCAGCCATGGCGCTGGCTGACATGGCTCGCTTGGCACCACCAGCTATGTCAACACTGGTAGTTACCACAATCTTAGGCCTCGCTCCTGCAAGTACTTCAACAACACGTTAAATAATGCTGTAAATCATGTAAAACTGTTTACACTTCAAACTTGACCCGCCGTCTCAATATCTGGGTCAAGTCCTATTATGAATGTCAACATACTCCAGCGTTGTACTTTTGATCGCAGTCTGAAACCTCATAGCATGAGGAATGGATTTCACCTTCAAGAAGTGTTCTTGTGAATGGTAGGTGTTCTTTATCCGACGCCATGGCAACCACGAGGGCCAAACAACTCTCAGGAAAGGTCCTCGTGAGAGTATCAGCTAATGCCGCTGCAGAACCCTCCGTGTGTGCTGTCAATTACGAAGGTGAGTGACCTTTGTTAGTAAATATGATTGAAGATTAGGTCTAAACAACAACCACAAAACGGCTAGAAGGAACATAATTTCAGTTTCAATCACGAGCATGCTCTCCATCCCGGTCATTAAGGCTAACTCCTCACTTTCAGGAAAAAGTTGGTTTCGTGATGTTGAAACGAGAGAAAGTTACCTCCATCTAATATAACAGTAGCACCTTTCGAACGAAGAGCCATTGCTTCTGCTGGAGTGGCGAATTGGAACCTGCCAGGAATTGTTGTGCGTTCCAAACCAAGACGAATGGATGTATCGGATATATTCAAACCTGAACAAAGAGTTTAACGTTCAGAAGTAGACCCGAAACTAAGGAAGTGAAAGGTGAATCTCAAACTTTAATTTCGAGTCTATGGTTGGGAAAAGAATCGGTGTTAAGTACCGAACAAATTGACATGCTCAGAAGCTACAAATTCATTTCACCTCCATTGCGCAAACACAGTGCTGTTTGGATAGCAGACGCTGCGTTGTCCATTTGATGGACCCCCAAAGCTCCGAGCTTGACATCCCTCATTCCCCAAACCTGTCATACATTCAGGAGTCTTGTATCAGTAGCAGGAACTGGAAAGGGGCACTTCGACTAGGAAAATCACGGCACCGTTAGAAGAAGAGTGATAGAAAAAAGGGATACCTCCGAGCTCTTAGCACCACTGACAGTGGGATCCTTAGATTTGATCACTATGTCGCAAAATTGATGAGGATTCCTGTAGTCGGCAATTATGTTCTTCAGCTCGCAGACGATCACTTCGTCAGGTCGAGGAACAACAGTTGCATTTTTTGAAGCAGCGACTTCTCGCAAGATTCTTTCAGCCACATTCTCCGATTGCCTGCCTAGAATGACCTGTTGCATGAGATAATTTGCATTCATGACCAGAAACGGACAACGCAGCCACCTATTGATAGGTACCAATTCAATACTGCTGCAGTTTTATCTAAGTCGAACGGAGTGGACAACAAGGGAATCCTTCTTTTGCACATAGACAGCAAGTGAATGCAGAAGAGGTGACCAGAATCTAGAAATTTAGACCAGACTAAGTGAAGAATGATCCTCCTTCTTCAGCAGCTTCTGTCACATTAGTGTGAAAGATATTCTTGCATTCGCATTAAACCCTCATTCTTCAGTATCCGACAATCTGACTCATGAAGTAGCGGATCAGTAGATGATGAAGGAAATTCGAAGAACTGTTTAGAACTTGAACATACCGGGCGACCTTCTTTGATGATGCCAGCCTTGGCATGCGCAATGCTCTCCAGAGAACCACCAAGGGCCTCTAAATGCTCTCTTCCAACTCCCACGATTACTGAAGCTAGAAGACTCGTGGCTGGTATGACATTAGTTGCATCACGAGCTCCTCCGAGACCAGTCTGTTGAAATGTCATAAACCATGAATGACATCAAGAAGTTGAAAATGCTGAGCAAGACAATTGTGACAGTTTTAGGAGTCAGAGTGTACCTCAATGACGGCAATGTCCACTTTCTCTCTTGCAAATTGTGCAAAAGCCAGAGCCGTTAAGATCTGCAATTCCAAGTTTCCTTAACTTCAGAATTTGTGAACGACCAGACAAAAACTGGTAAAGTGACAGTTTAAAACAAGATCCTGCATGTTGATCTCTATCTGAATTCGAAGGTTTAGAGTTACAACTACTGTATGAAGGGGAAAGAGATCGAAACTATGAAGACAATCGTAAGATATTTAAGATCCTAAATAAGTACAAAGTAAGAGCCGCTGGTTACACCTCGAAGTGCGTAAGAGCCCCAGATTCAGAAATTACAGCCTCGTTAACTCTCTTGTGCAGGTCTCTATACAACTGATTGAATGCCTCAGTACTTATTGGTTGGCCTGTTTCCCCAGAAACTATCCTCTCCCGTAGACTTCGAATGTGTGGACTGTCAAAATAGAAGTCAAAAGTCATCTGGTTGTAAAAAATTGTAATGTGTGATGCATGCTATCAATAGTTGACTCCAAAAAGCATTGCATATACAATGAGTATTACATGTGGTCAATCCATCGGGGAATGTAACAGATGGCGTGTAGAATTTGGAAAACTAAGAAGAAATCTTCAGTCTAATGTACTCAGAGAAAGATTACACTGCTAAAAAAATTCCTTGCAGCAAGTCATTTAACAATCAAAATCTGTCCAAAACAGGAAACAGAAAATTTGAATTATACGAGTCCCGATGTTCAAGAGCATGCTGACTAAAAACCTCTGTACCTTGTATAAGATCCGACTCGAAAACCGGCCGCTCGAAGAATGTCACTTATGAAGGCAACCGTAGAACCCTTGCCCTTGGTACCAGCAACGTGAACCACCTTAACCAGTTTCAAAGAACAGATTTGAGAAACACGATGGGTTTTGAATACAATCGCAAGTAATCAGGATCTAGATTTTTAAAAGTTCAACCGGACAGCCGAATTGCACAATAGCAAACGTTGCTCGTGCGAATTCGTCAAAACTCAGATTCTGTCATCCTTGAGGGAGAACGCAACACAGTCACGACAGCACACTCTCTATGTCCCTCTAACGTGACCACGAAGACTGTTCTCGTCGATGACATTGTGCACCATGCAATCAGTCGTCGAGTAGAACAAATTGGCACCTTGGCGAGAGCACTGAATGCTGTCTCCAAGTGTGCCGGTTCAAGATCACTACATTTAACAAGGACAACCACCATCTGCTTTCCCTTCGATGCTCTAATGATTCTGGTGACACTTCAGGTTCTTATAATGAAATGGAGAGGAATTTGAACCCAATTGTCACTCACTTGGTATTTCGAGATGGGATCCCCTATCGTAGAAAGCAGGCGAGACATTCGCCCGAGATCGAACCCTTCATCAGATCCTGTGCCGGCGCCCTTGGGAACGCCATCTTTTTCAAAGTTTTTAAAAGAATTCAAATACTCTTCCACCTCCAACACCGAATCATCTGTCTCGGCAGCCATTGCTCTGATGTCTGTTCCTCCGTCCGAGAAGAATCTCGCACCAGCAAGAGGACGCAAAAGCCCCCAATCCGAACCGCAGCCACGCGCTGAATTCAGTCTCCCTCTAATAATACTCGGCCACAAAGAAGATCTCACTCGTGATGCACACATTTTAGCTTTCACCTCACATCGTGCGAATCCCCGAACAAACAGCGAACGCGGTGCTAGCAGGCGGCCTTGCACTCAGCAGCACAAATGCAGAGCTTCGATTCTCGGACTTCGTCCGCCTCGAGGCAATCGTTCCGCCATCACCTTCGCTCTTGCAGCGACGATGGCAGTCACATCCCCGAGAAACGACTGCTCCGTGCTCCGTTCGTGCACCCGGATGGATGCAGTCGGCGAACGGAGGTGCTCTACGCGGTTTCCACTCGTGGTTACCAACCGAGTTGCCTCGGGTCCATGGTTCGTGAAAGGAATCAGGCATTTTACGCGAGTGTTATTAACTCTGACCATGTTTGGAACCTGACCTGGTAGCTCGTCGCTCAGACACTGATGCAGCGCGACGAAAGTATGCAGAGTGGAAAGCGAAAGCGAACCGTGGTTTGTTATTTAGTATATTCACAGCTCAAGGAAGAGGGGAGTTCGAGCCTCATGCATGATCGGTGGTATGTTTCGACAGATCGACCAAAAGGACGAGATAGAAAAACTTTGAATATCTTCCAGTCAATAGGAGTACAGAGTGATACTGTTCGTATCGAAATTTAGAAGCAAAATAAGCTTCGTACGAGCCAAATGAATGATCTACAATCAAACTGCTAGGATTTCGTGAATCCATGATGGAATTCATGAGGAAGTCTTCCAAGAATTGGGTGCTTGTTTGCTTCGAAAATCAGTGATTGCGGGGGCAAATTGCTTCGATCATTTCGGTGCCAGCTTGTACCACTCGGGCCATTCGACTCGACCAAAGGCGCTGGGTACTGCAACACTAAGTCTGGCTGTTGAGAAACCGAGGAGCATTTGAATTCCACCTCCACATGCAGAAGAAGAAACGGAACGCGATTTAGGACATGCCCTTTCAGGACTGATTTGCGAAGCACTTCGCGCCATGTTCTCCTGGCTCTTGAAAGCGAGAGTAATAATTTCCTGACGGGCTTCAAGTTCGACAATATGTCCATAATTGAGATGGAGCTACGACGTGTCTCCGGAGCGTAAGCTCTGAAGCAAATGTATATATCCTTTCTGCTCCGGGGTAATGTACCTGAAAGAAGCCGGCAGCATGTAAATATACAATCAACTTCATTCGGGTCGAATGCAAATGTCACCCTCATTTTTCGTCAGCAAGGGCCAATGGACCTCCATCAAAAGATCTTCTTCATGTCCTGTTAAATAAGCACTTCCTGCCATCTCAAAAACAAACGAAGAGAATTGCATCGGATAGTTCATCTCCGCATCTTCGTTTACGACCAGATGAGAATGAAGGAGACAGGACCTACCCATGTCTGATGAAAAAATCGATGATGACGAGAGCACAGTTCGGCTTATATTCTTCCGTGTCTCTGATAACGTTCACCACTTCAGAGACGGGTACTCTCATGAAACTTTGCACTTCACCATCTGTCGAATCAAAGCACGAAGTTTCTTCTAAGAAATCTCCTCGAAGGCAATAAACCAATACACATGATCGAGGCCACACATGTCATAAACAGCAGCGGTTCTTCTTGAAGGAAAACAAATCAGATATGAACGAGATCACAAAAGGAAACGCAACGTCCACAACATCATTGACATACAATAGTTCAGGACGTGTTTCAAAGTTTACAAATCCCAATCAGCGCCTAAACTTCGAAAAACCTCGCAGAATGACAGAAACAATCTCCGGAATATACTACAGAGAGAGCGGTCAGAACCCTTGTTGTATGGTTGAAAATCCAGGGGTAGTTCAAGGTCATAGCAAAAGAGAAGATCTCTGCTATAGCAATCTCCGTAGATCTCATCGTAGCTGACAGCTCCTACAGCCACGGCTCTGAAAAATATTACGGGAAAAAAACGGAATCACTTGATTTGCAATGACTTCTCTGCAACATACTCAAACATGAGCGGCGCATGTTCATCAGTCTAAAAGAATGGAATGGAGAATTATGGAAACATCAGTCCTTACTTCGCAGCCAGATCACGAGGTATGCCAGCTTCTTCGTCGCATTCCTTGATGACGTTCTCTTTACAGCTGATTCCTTCAGGCTGCAAGCAAAGTCAAGATAGTCCAGTTAACCTCCCATCAGGTTTCAGGGCTTCCTACAACCAAGAAAGTCCCCCATGTTTCCTGCAGGCATGCTAGGAAATAAAACAATTTGTAACAAACTTGATCCGACTTATATTAGTGGAGGCCAACCTGCCCACCTGCAACAATGTGGTCCAACCTTCCGGGGTAAGTAGATTTGGTGTCACTTCTTCTTGCAACCCACAAGTGCTTTTCTCCATCTATGTTGACGTAGCCATTCATGTGAACTCCGAAGGACTGCATAACGATGGAACCAGACAAATCCAAGTTAATCTGTTTCTCTTCTCGGGTTACCAAAGCGGGTTTTTTAGTGGAATACCACATACATTGGAGCTACTGTTGTGTGGAAAAAAGTCTACAAGACAATGCTAATGAACCAAGAACTTCAAATCCTTCGCGGCACCGGCAAAATTCCAAACTAGACTGGAGTTCCATTTCCAGTTTGGAGATACAGGCAGAACATAAATTCCATTGGAAGGACCTGTAAGAACGTCGATAGGCGGAGCCTCTGGTTTAGAGCAAAGGCTGGTTTAGACTATGAAACTGAAATAATAAAATTTGTGAAAGAGACCCCGAACAAATCTTGGAACAAGAGTTACGATAAAGCCATGAGGTGTAGTTCTTACTCTGATCCCGAAGTGCTTGGCTGCTGCTCTTTCCATCAAGAAGAAAGGTGGCTCTCCATAATTTTGAACTACTGGATACAGCTGTATACACGCAAAGTCATTAGCTTGGTAAGATCGTCGGGAGCCATTTTGGACCAATTCTTTCTAACAAGGTGGCTATCGTGAGAACATGACCTAGAACAGATTATCAGTGTAGAATATGCTAGTATCAGATGCGCTAAGAAAGATTGCAATACAGCCAAAACCATTTCCACTCACCTCGTTACGCCAACCTGTGATTAAGCCTTCGCCTTTCAGAGTTTCCAAAACTCCGGCTACTGCTTTAGTGCGCTTTTCAGGGGACGACAGGCTTGGGTCGAGGGTCACATAACTCAACTTGGAGCTTCCGCTGGCGATTCGGCTGACATCCTCATCTCCTTCAATTGAAAACACATCCGAAAATCGTTTGAGATGTTGAGCCAAACTGCGAAGACAGACATGTCAGCTTGTGGAGCGAGCAAAGTGGCTTGCAGAGATATGTGACGTTGAGTAAAAGGTATAGAAGAAAGTTCGTAGACACACTTCAAAAACTTACAGAAAGAGTCAATCCATGGTACATACCGATGGTGTATGTAGCCAAGTGTATAATTGTCAATCTTGAAAGGTAGAAACTCTGTACTCCTTGCCTGTAGCAAAAGCACAAGGTGATAGTTTAGGGCACCGATGCTCCAAGCTCACCAGCTGGCCTTATTAAGAGTATTTAGAAACTGGACCCATTTTGTGTCCAATCCCCGGGAAAGCACCTCATTCAATTAGACTAGATACTTTCCTTCGCCCCATAAGAATTACTGCTCATTGCACGATGCTTTCCATTTCCAGGCATGTCAAAGCAGACGGGCAGGACAATTCACAATCAGGGTGTGAAGGGTGAAAATGGAAGATTGGTGACATGCAATTTTAGTTCCAATCTTCTTCGGGTTTAAACCTTGAACTTAAGCGTAATTATCAAATCATGAATAGTTCAAATGAGCTGAAAGTAACCTACGATCCACACATCAACCTATGATCCACTCCATTTGAAAGGACTGGAATTGCTATGAAAGCGGTGAATGGAAAAAAAAATGAATGAAAATCGTCCACACAAAAAAGTGGATGAAATGACAGAACTCTGACTGCTCTAGTTGGATCAAATTCTCCATCCTCGCGTGTTTCATAAAGCTCTATAAAAAACGTCGATTCCCATCACTTAAAAAAACAAAAAATCCCAAGAAAGGCAAAATTCAGAAATCGTGGATGACGAGAAATATCATACTCTGCCACCATTACAAGCAGCCACACGGTCTGCAAAGCCCTGCAATTCTGAACCGTAAAGCACCGGTTTCTCCTCCATCACACCTCCATTTTCCATACACAAGGCGCTTCTGATCGACATCCGGCTGCTGCGGCAGCTGCTCCGGGCGCCCTTCCAACACATACCCAAATCATGCGCACTGCTTCCGTTCCCCAAACAAACTCTCTCCCCCGCACCATCGCCTAACATCGTCGGCCGTCCGGACCAATCGACCACAGACATTCCTCTGCGTCGACTCAAGAATTCCAGCGTCCGGCCGCCTCGGCACGACACCCACTCGGCTCCGCCCCTCATCATCGTCCCGACGGTGCAATCGGTTCGAATCGCTATTGCAATCGCAGCAGTGGCATATCACGTGAGCATTACACAGAGCTGGGCACGAGTGGGGAGATCCAGAATCGAGATCAGACTCCGAAATCCTGATCGAAGCCCGAATTCCGGTCGACCTTTGTCACTCTTCCGATAGACTCGGAATGTTGGCTCTCCCTCTGTGCATCTACCCGCTGACTGCTGACTGGGCTCCACGTAATCAGTGATTATGTGGAGCTGATTAGATCCTTGAGTGTAGCAAGTGGGCAAGTTTTGTCGGTGGCTTTGCCTCTCAGTATCACAGAAAGTTGAGCGAAATCATTTTCGATAATTCGATAAAAACATCCTTAAATGAAATATGTAACAGGTTCTTCAATTTGTACAAACTATAACAAAGGGATGAGTCTATAGAATGCTGCAAAGTTTATTCACTTCATGCTTACATATCAACCCTATTTTCAAACCAAATGTAACTCAAGTTGAAACCAAGACCGGGTAGAGGTTTGAATGAAGTATTTACAAGCAGTAATCGAAGATCATATCTTTTTCCTATATTACACAACTCAACACACAAGCCCATATTTCTGAACATGGTAGCCTTCAGCATAGAATATTAGGAGCGGAAAAATTTAGTGCGAGACGCAAGAGATTTATACGTCTTGAAATAAAGATTCATGGGGATGAGTTAGGAGTTTAGACGAAAATGGATATCCAGCATCTGCAGCGAGTCTTGCCCAGTTGGAAGCAGTCATGAAGATTAGAAGTGCATGAAGATTTCCCCCACAAGAGTCTCTTGGAGTCCGAAGACAACAACCACATGATCTTGAGCGGATAGAATATGACAACTTTGCCTAGTTTATGTCAATCACCTGTGATCAGAAAATTCCATGGCAATTTCTACCTACTATGCCCCTGCATGATTTAAAACTTGCCTTCAGTAAACTTCGAGGAACTGCCTTGCACTAGCTTGAGACAATTTCAAGATTATTTGTTCCTCATAGTCACGTTCTCTGCAAAGTTTCTGTAAACATCTTACAAGTGGAGGATATCGTATTCAAGTAAGTACTTAAGAAATTCACTCTTGTCATGGCCAAGCCCATTAAAACTAATGGTTGCTATCTGATTTGGATCAGATCCTTTCAAGGTAGCGAAAAGCTTTTTTTGTTTAAGCCAGACCATTCAAGTTTGGAAGATTTGCATCTCTGATAGGTCAAGCTCATTCACTTTTATATGTTTGTAGCCCAATCTAGTATTGTTAACCATTTCTCCTCTATTACAGTCAAGTTATTTGTAGTTGTAATCCCATTCGAATACTTTTGGCTTATCGCCAGGCTTAGTGCTGTTGGGCTTAGACTAAGACCACTAGTCAAAAAATTTTGTAATCACTTTTCACTGCAAAGGTGTATATATATGTATATGTTGTATGAGAAGGGGATGTTTGCGTGGTGCTAGTGCACTTGTCTAAAGTGAGCCATTATTATCTGAATGTAATTATGATAGAAAATAGATTAAATATAATTTTTCACACTACTGGAATGGTCTACAAGATTTGAAAGAGTGAATGGGCTGGACCCATCATGATATTTTCTTTTTTTGCACTTAAAAGGATATGGGTAGTAAAAAAACAAGCACGATTTGAAAATGCTTGGTGAACATAGAGATATTCTACTCGTAAATGAATGAGTTTCGACAAAGAAATAGAGTAAATGATTTCATGAAATGAAAACATACCTTCCATACTAGAAGGAGATGGACTTGACGAAGTGAGACCCTCATTGCCTGAATGGACTTGGCTCAATTCCCAATGTAAGTTTGCGAGGTACAGATACAAAGAGAGTGTGGGCTTAGCCCAACGAAGACACAGGTATGTCACTTTGGGTTGGCGGAACTTAGAGATGATATTATATTTTACTCGTAAGTACTCTACCTAAATCATGAGAGCACCGCGTAGTTGAGGTGAAAGGGCTTGGAACTCAAGAACGCTAGCTTCTGAACGAGTCGATAGAAAATGCTAGCAATAAGCGAGAGTGGAAATGAGCTTGGCCCACAAAGTGAGACAGTGAGAGATACGTGGCATTGAATGGGCTTGTACAAGCGAAGAAGCGTACTCTGCTTAGATTTGACGATTGGAAAAATTGGATGTGTTGTTCAAAGAAATAAACCTCCAATCCAATGCGCTTGGACAATCGTCCAAACTCTTGATCGATTTTGGACGAACGAAGATAGCAGCTTTCTCCCTCTACCCGCAGCAGCCGAGGGATAGAGGGAGAAAGCTGATAATCTCCCTCTATCCCTCGGCTGCGGGATTAGCCGATCTAACATGGTGAAATGTCTGCAATAAATTTCTATCTGCTCTGCTCTCTGGAGATCTCCCTGTGCTCTCAAGTCCGGTACTATGTAAGAAGGGTATAAACTGAGAATGCAGAAATCACGTTTACATATTAGAAGCCACCCAACAGGAAAGAAAAACGCAGATATTTATATATTACTCTGAAGCCAAGTATCAATACACTGAAATGTTTGTGCCTAATCTGTGGTCTATGAAGTGATTTAGATGTTCCCTCTTGTCTCGAGTTGTGTTTCGACAGCAAGAGATACGGATTAGTATATATCGTCCGAACTGCTCAGAAAATCTAGAATCGGGTTGAAGATGTCTTGAGTGCGATTGACGCTGTACGTAAGATCGTAGTGAGCGTAATTAGGAAGAGAGAGCGAGGTCGGATGGCCTTTGAGAAGCGACAGGAAGAGGCGCACGCCGGCTGCCGGCGCACACGCATCCCGCTCGCCGAGCACCACGAACACAGGAAGAGTTGCAGGAATGTCGCCTGGATTGTACGCTGGAGGAAACGGTCTTCCGTCGTAAGCCATCGCGTTGCGCCACTCAACTCCGTAATCGTAGTGCTGCCATGTGTTGGACCTCACTCCTGCGACAACAACCGAAAATGTTACCTTCTGTTCACGAAATTGAATAATAATACCAATAAAACCCGATGTTACGATGGTTGCAGCTTTTACCCTGTTGATAATGGAGGAGATTCTTGAATGACGTTGTTCCATCCCACCCATTATCGAATCTGATGACGGTGGCTCCCAGACAGCAGTTGGGTCCTGCAATAAGAGATTGTGATGACAAATGGTGCCGCAGTCAATCACGAAATACTCCAAACGGTACGCCAATTTGAATCAGTTCGGTGTCATGCGGTCTTACCAGAAATCGTATCCAAGACGACGGCCATCGGACCTTGACCGTATATCGTGCTCACGGGAAACTCTCTGCACGAGAAAGCCCAGTAATATATTATGTACAAGTGATCATGGATGATGTCGAAGAGGTGATCTTGTAGTTGCTGCAAACACATTGTCCATCCATGGCTGCATGGATAGAATCGAGAACGGGTGAATGGAGCATTTTGCACGTAGTGTTGGTGAATCTGAAATGTTGGCAAGATGAAATGAAATGGGCATACGCTGAATAATTGAATGCTCCGTGCTGAAATCCTTCGAGGAAGTATGTCTGCATTCAAGCAAACAACGTAATATTGCAACCTGTAAGTTGAGAACGCCATTCATTTGCTCTGCATCCCTTGGTTCCAATCTCGTTCATTCATCGTCCATCGTCCCACTGATGTAACTTTGATTTGGCTAGTTCTCTTATGTGCCCTCGAACTGTCTGCTTCTCTTCTCAAGATTATTAGAGACTCACCTGATCAATCCCGTTGCCGAAAAGGTAAGCCCATGCATCGAGAACCAACGAGTTCGTGTTGCCTCGATATACCGTGGGCCCCAACAAAGTAAGAGACCTCAACATCTGCGATACTGTCGATCTGGTTGCTGCAGCCGCTCCGACTGTCGCACTCTGCATCGCGTCACGTACAAAGGCTTTTCAGTACCAGCTCTGACACAATTCGAAGGCCATGCAATCTAGAATTGCAGGGGGATACGAAGTGCGAATGGCCACCCTTGATTCCATCTTCAGCAAAGAAGTGTTTGGTCATTAACGATTGCTCTTTCTGTCCATCACCTCAGAAACGCCGATGTAGTGCACTTTCGACTCAGTCTCGCTGTTGATCAAGTTCAGAGCGGCTGGAAGATCGTACTCAGCTCTATCATCCCATGTCCAGTTCCAGTACTCCTGTACAAGTGCATGTCAGTCCTTCGGACCTGATCAGATGGAAATCGATAATGCTGGTGCTGCCTTACATCTGTACACGAGGTCGATCAAGCATTCAAACTCAGTGAAGCGAAAATTACTCACGGGCTGATTGGGCTGGAACGTGACGTGCTGGTGGCCCCAGATGGTGGCACGGTGGTGTCCGACCCAAACATCGTACCCAGCATCGACCATCATCAGAGGTAAGAAGCGATCCCCAGGAGAGTGATTTGGCGTGAACCAGCTGTCACCATTCAGAAACTCCGGATGCATGAGCAGCACAGGGACTCCTCTTCGCGGCTTCTGCTGCTGCCCTGCTGCTGTGCTGGGATTGTCCACAGGTTCATCAGGAACGAATCCATGCTGGGCTTCAGGAGGAGAAATCACGCCTCCGGGCTCCTGAAATGGTACCGGGATCTGTTCCCGCGGACCACTTTCATAACTCCATGGGGTCGGTGAATTTGCAGGACTGATGTCGAAAGCTTCAGTGGTGAAACCCGATGGGGAGATATCTGAGGGCAGAGGAGACAGATAGCTAGCTGCTGGTGCATATGATGGGGGCCAAGCAGTCGGCCACTCACCTCTGGACTCCGGTGCTCCTTTGGCCGATGGTATTGTGGCAGGAGGTGATGGAAATGGTGAAACGTCTAATGTTGCAGAAATCGACGGGGGAAACCTCGAACGGGGACCTAACGAAGCAGGAGCATCAACTGAGACTGCACTCGGGATTAGATCTCGAGAGGCTGTTTGATTTGTTGGTAAATGTCCTGGACTCGATGGTTTTGGTTCTCGAGGTGAGGTGAGGTTGTTGCCTTGGCAGCCCTTAGAATCGCCAACAGTACATCTTTCGAATGGCTGTTCAGCGGTGTCTGTTGAAGAAACTTGTCTAGGCTCACGGATGCTGATCTCCATGGGGGAAGTTCTAGAAGTCCCCTGAAAAGGAATGTCCCCTTCGGTGTCTGGTGGTGGAGTAACCTCCATGGGTAAATTCGTGATCGTGTTGACGGTCCTCGTGGTAACGTACCATGTGCTGATGCGATGTAGTACCAACTTGAAGCCATCATCTGTTGTCACCTGCATTTTATACATACAAACCACAGCACTGTCCTTGACATATCCATGATATGCAAACGTCGAAGATCGAATAGTGGAACTACCTATAGAAACTGGATTTCCAACATGGACTCCTGCATCTCTTAACCAAAGTGACAGCCATCAACCCGGGCTGATTATACATTTGCAGGTCAAAGAGCGAATTCTTCAAAACACAGAGCTCAACTTCATAAAGAAGGTTCAGAGATGTCAGTAGCGATGATGAATTTACCTTATATTCAACGCAGGAGTATCCCAGGGGGAAAACAACATGTCGACAGAAGGTACTGTCGAGAGGCAGAGCCCCGCACGATTGCACGCAGCTCATCGCCGTGTACACTATTGCCAATCTCCATAGCCAACGCCAGGCAGAGAAACTGCTCGAAATTGGAGGCATCATGACGAGGAAATCTAGTGGGAGGAAAATTGTGAAAGTTGCGCATGCTTGATCCAAATCTGCTTTTCGTTCCGGATGCATCAGGCTCTGAAGATGTAGGCAATCCTCGTAGTCTGATCTGTTGGTTAGAATGCCAAGTTTAAAATATTTTGAATTTTAGAGTCACTAGTCTGGCGCAACGTCAGGTACACCGAATCCATTTTACGGAGACGAGTCCGAAGTTGAATTCGAGAACCTGCTGCATGAGATTCGAAAGTGCTGTTCTCAGAATATGAAGATACAACGCGTTCATCAGGGAACAACTCTTCGCCGTTGGCATTCAACAAATGCTCCGCTGATCGGCCTGCTTTGCGCTTTCTCTCTCTCTCCCTCTCTACATTACAAGGTCCCCTATAAAGCTAAACCATGATCATGGACACGTATTCAGGGACTTTGATTCAAATTTGACGTGCTTTATGTAGAAAAGAAGAACATCTCGTGCATACCATAATGCTTTTGAGAACACAACAGATTGAGACCTTGGAGTCTCAAATGATTTGATAGCAATGCATGTTTTGTAACAATGGCATACCCCGATGGTTCTTATGGGTCTCGGGTGCTTTCATCGTCGCACAATGCCCGTTATTTATTTAGATGAAACATCTGATTCCTACTGATCCAATTGATGACTATATTTATTTGGTATTGAAAATTATAGAATGAGAGTACTATGATGTACGAGCAGATAATTATAGATTCATTGAATATAGTCATGGTGATAATCACATCATACAGTCTCAACATGATTTTATTCTAAACTTGCTGGAAATTTGGGAAGTCTTATTTTTTATGAGTTGGACGTAGAAGGAACAATTAACAAGTAAAATGGAAATCAACTCAAAACATGTTCGGAGATATAAATTCCAGTTCCCAATTGTCCTTAATGCAAAGAAACTCAATATCCCAAACAAAACCTTCAGACTTTCATTGCCTCCTATTCCATGCAGGCACTGCTGAATATGAACATCCATAGTGGAGCATTTCCAGAAACATAGATGTGCAGCAGACGAAAAAGAAACACTTTTCGATACTTCCACTTGAGTTGATCAATTTACATCTTCAACAAGATGGCAGTGGATAGAAGACAGTCATGGACTTGTTTCTCAATATCAATCTTTGATATTTCGACATAGCTCAGATGTAACCATAAGATCCCTGCAGCACCAAAAGATAGACTCTATCAAGATCTGCTCCTTGCAAAATTAGGATTCAGCCCCAAAAAAATTTCATTTACATTTTAAGATAATCACGAGATAAGCTAAAGGAATATTTTATTATATAAGTTAAGCAAAATCAGACCCACATGTCTCCCGCTTTATTGAACCAATACCGGCAAAGCAATTTTATCTTTTCTAGCAAACAGAAGTTTGAGATGCAAACCGAATGCACGTCTGGGCCTGGATTCAGAACTTCGTAGTCCACGAGCAAGGGGTTGATCAAGATCAGCATAAACTAATGCAGAAATGCTCTTGGAACAGCGTCCCAATATAGATCCGAGTTATTCAGAGGGCACAGCTGGCTGAACAAAATGATTATCTCGTAGACTAGAACTGATCTCTTGGGTCAGATCTAGTCTTGGCAGCAGCTTGCAAGGAACTAATTCTCATCGACAATTATGTTTTTGGCACTAATTCAACAAGGAATCTGCCTTGCAGAGTGTTGGGTAGCAAAGGTACAGCTCCCATTTTAAGATTGACTTCGAAGCAGCACTACTGATGAGAGTCACCCTGGCGCGACCACTTGCAGACTCATAGGCTCCCGTGCCGCCAGTGACGCCCAACTCTTCAACCGGCGGAGTATTGGATCCCGTGGTCTGGATGCCTGAAAATGAAATAGTCCCGTTCATCCCGTTTGTCTTCAGGTCCAAGACTCCGGTTGCTTGCGTTGTCGATTGATCCTCTTGCGTTATTCCTGTGACGCGAATGACCCTCTGCCTGCCGACGATTTGTGATTGTTCTGAAGCAGTCAGTCTGATTGGCTGGTCACTTACGGCCACAACGGGGACCCCGACTGGAACCGGTGATTGAAGATCAGGTGGATAAATTGCCACCGCTGTTGCGTTGGGTAAGGGAGGATTGGTCCGGAATATGTAGATTGTCACATCTGGAGCACGCAGAGCAGCATTCGCAGTCAACAAACTGGATGCGCCGAGAAGTACGAACAATGTGCTCAGAATGGTGGAGCTGCTGTATGTACCCATTACGTTAGTCTAGGCACGAGGAGATTCAGGATGTGCCCAATGTCGTAAGAGAACGATGACGAGTGTTGGACGAGAAAGAGATTCTCTGCGAAGATGCAGCAGTGTGAGTGGCAAGGGAATTTTCACTGGCTTTTATATCCTACTGCGGGATATCGAAAAACGCATTTTAAGGCAACTCTTTTCCCACTGCCATGTTCGAACGTGGTTACGATTTTCGTTCTTGTGTGTTTGCATTTAAAGTGCATTCTAGATCCCATGTTCGAATGCAGTTGTATTCTAAAGCTCTCAGAGTAGTTGTTGTTTATACTTTGGTAAAGTTTGGTTTAATCGTACAAACTGGTTTCATTGAAGGACAATACTAAATTTCTTGGATAGATCTAGACTTCTTTTCATGACTCTAGATAATGATTTAGTTTTTTCATTGAAAAGTAACACCTCCACGTGGTTGGAAAATCAGGTACTCTTCCAGCTTGAAAAGCAAACATTCAGTATATGGTCATGAATGCTTCTTAATGATATCTCACTTACCCGTTAGCAGATTATTAGAACTTTAGGTACACATTAAAATTACTGAGATTCTCCAATAAAATAGTTCAAAGCTTAAGCTGTCAAATTATACCTATTCAGATGGCTCTAGGTAACTAAGACCTCTAGGTTTTTTAATTCTTCAAAGAGCTTGCATTTACTTAAAGTGAAGTGGTATGCTGTCATTAAACCTTGTTTCGATCTCAAGAAATGAGCGTCTAAAGAATTTCCATTTTAGTGATATACTTCTCCGAATATGTGATAGAAAATGATTATATAAAGGATTTAATTTCAACTCAATCTTTTCATTTGACAGGTGTGTAATATCTCACCTAAACGTAAGGAGTGGATTTATAATCATTTAATGGTGGAAAGACTTGTTCTTCAATGTTATTGGTGAACACTCTTAGAAAGCATGAGTTTGCTTTCTGAAGAACAAGTCAAAAGTATTTGATTTCTTCAAGAGAAGAAAAATTCAAGGTTGTAAATGACTCAGCTCTGGAGATTATGAAAATATTCGAACTGGCAGTAATTTTGAGTATAAAGACACTATATTTGAAAATTTTTTCTATAAACACGGGGTCCAAACCGATGTAGTGCAGTTTTGATCTCATTGCAATGGTAGAACTATACACATGAACCTTAAGTCAATAGAAAGAGCTTAACACTTTAGTATACGGTATATCTATCAGTTGTGAGTAAGACGTAAACACATCAGCTCAATTGTTAGTTATCATTCACTTGGGGCTAATTAGCCCTCACTCTAATATATGCCGCTCTCTTATTGGTCGATGCAAGGAGTAGAGATACAGTAGTACTATAGGCTGTTAGATCAGATGGAACCGTTTACTAGGGTGAGGGCTAATTAGTCCTAAGTGAAGAATAATTAGCCACTCCGTTGTTTAATTAAAATATATCAAAATCATCAGGTTGGTGGAGCTGCCGAATGAATTTGACTTCGATGGCCTATGCTGCGTAGGCTATGCACGAGAGATAGAAGATTTGCCCAATGTAAGAGGAGAAGGAGAATCTTTACCAAGAGTCGAGAGAGGAGGTAGAGAGTCGGCAGTTCGACTTTATATCCAATTGCGGGGTTGATTTAAGAGCAATCATTTCCCACTTCCATGTTCGAACCTGGTTACGCTTTCCGCGTTTTGCGTGTTCGCATATAAAGTGCATTTGGACTTCCATCTTGGATTGCGCTTTATTTGTAGCGTTATCTACAGCTTTGAAAGTTGTATTTTTCTTCGAATCTCCTTTTTCGTGACTCTTTGCAAAGTTGGAATTAATTAGGAAACAGTTGGCAACATTCTTGGAAAATATTCATACTTCTTACTTTGATAAACATTATTTTCACATTGATGGAGAGTTGAGATGATTAGACAGATTGAACATGAAAAATCCATGAGAAGGATACGAAAGCTTATCATTATCAACTGAATAAGTTTGAACATTTTATTTAAGCTCTAAATATAGTCTAACCGAAGTTATCCAATCTAGGAGGTCTAAATTTGAAATGCCTATTCTTCACAATGTAGACGGGCCTAAGAAGTTGTGACCTTTAGGACTTCCAGTGCTTGAAAATGCCTATATTTTAGTCTCATATTAACTGGATTGCGTAAGATGAATCTTGTTTCCATCTCAAAAAGTAAACGTATTCAGTACAATGATATAGGATAACCACTACTTGCTAGGTAATGATTGATTTCCAAAAAAATTATTTGCTCTTTAATTACTCTGTTTAGCAAATTTCATAGTGATAACTTAAAAAATTAGGAGGGAATAGACGGCTATTTTTACCTTTGGGTGGGAAACACTAGTTTTTTGTTTGATCGATGAATATTTTAGGAATAAAAATAAATGAGATGTAAGAAGGCTTCAGGCTTTCAGGAGATGGAATTCTATGATTAAAAGTGAGAAAGCTCTGAAGAATAAAAAGTTCAGTATCAAGAATGGTGATGAAGATGAAAACACCACATTGAAAGAATATTGCTTCCAACACAATATTCTAATTGAATAGACGATGTATCTGACTTAGACTTAGACTTAGACATCACCAACGCTTAACACAATGGTGTATCAGAACGCATGAACCACATGTTGGAAAGAAAGCGAAAATTATTTGTAAACAATCAGGTCTATCAAAAGTATTTTTTTTTGAGTAAGCATCGAATAGAACAGCTTCCTGGATCAATCAAGGACATATGTAGCATATGTGAATATTCTCATTCAAGTTTTAAACCTAGAGAATAAAATTTCACGAAATCTGGCTAATAAATAATAGAAAATTCCTCAACAAAGTGGTGTTCAACATTTAGACAAATCACAAGCTGTTGCTCTTCTTTTTGTATTCTGGTATTGAGAATGACTTGTTGGCCTCATGTGTCGACCAAAAGATATGTGAAGTATATATTTTGACTTATAAAGAGTAGCTTAAATGCTGTGGAGAAGCTTTTGATGATGGTGCTGAAAGCAAGTGAAATGTCTGTCATGCAGCGCGAACTTTGCTCAATAGCTATTATAAAACAATTTGTAAAAACCTTCTATCAAATTCTAGAACTAGTTTGCTTCTGTTAGAACTTCCTTGTTGATCAAAAGTGGTTATCCTAAACTGTATTCGGTTGTGAGTATCATAAGCATATGATCAATGAGTTACATGTGCTACTCAAATGTATGGTCAAAAGATGTCCAATGTATAAAAAATACTTCTACCTATATGAATGAATTGAAAGCCAAAAAGCAATCAAAGTATACTCCAAGTTTTTTGTGAGTAATTGAATAACAAACCCAAAAAAAGAAAAACCAATGCTCAAAGTAATATATTGATTTTATGCAAAGCACGTCATCCGCTAGTGAGGTTATTGCTCTGTCTGTAAGACTTCCCAACTCAGAATCAACCGTACAGCACCTTTGTGCTATGTCACGCCGTTCTCATGATCTTCGTAAGATCAAATAGATTGAACTGATATAGGTTGCCGATTGAAGTTAACGCATGAAATGGCGTCAGGTCAACCCCATAAGCAACAACTTCTGTAACTTATGTACCCTCTCTACATGTCCATGCGGCAATAACTTATCCCTACAACCGTGAAAACTAAAGTGTCTTCTCTCAACCAAATCCAGCTGTAACTTTGCATTTAGACCCAGATTCTTAACGCTTTGAAATGAAATTGAATGTTCGAGAGAAAAGGTTAAAGGTTCACATCGCTCGAATCTTCTGAATGTTGAATTTTGTCTAAGCCCAAAACTATTATTATCAGCCCCAGATTCACGAACCGCGTTGTTTCTGGCACCACGTTGTGATAGACCTTGCTGATGACTTTAAACTGTTTCGCTTTTATGTAAGGGAAGCAGTCAAATTAGCACAGGTAACTTTTCAATCCCTCATGACATTGCTCGAAGAAATTCGACCTATGTGTGAGCAAGCAGTTTCCAATTACTTCATCGTCTTCGTGTAACGAGAAATTTCTTTATCTGTTAAGCAATTCATCTTCCTACCATTCTCATTGCTGTCATCTGCAAAGCAATTCATCTTCCTACCATTCTCATTGTTGTCGTCTGCAAAGGAATTCATCTTTCTGCAAATCTCATTGTTTTTATTATGGACATGAAATCTTTATCTTCACCTGTTGCATGGCTGCCAATTCTGCTACCTAAAGAGCCACATCGTCTGATATTAATGTAAACCACGAGTTCTCTTTTGAGAAATATCATCGTGCCAGTCACCACACGGTTAGCAAACAAAAGCAAACACCAGCCCCTGGCATGTCTTCGGCCATCTATTCACTATGCGTTATGTGGAACAGACAGTGCAGTAGGATTGTGCGATCTGAATCCGAGGTAATCTGCTAAACCGGATCATCCGATATACAGACCAACCCTACGTTCAATCGACTGACCTGCACCTTATCAACTACATGTGACGCTGGAATTTTTAGTTGGCTCGGAAATTATGTAACAATGTGCAAGTGTTGTAGTGTGATTCTGGTCTACTTCACGCATGTCTATGTCGTGGACTCTCTGAAAGTGCATAACCTAGAGCCGCATCCGATTAAGCTGCCTTCACGACTTCTCATCTAAAATCGGTTCTTCTCGAATGTGGATCAGGATCAACTGATTGTTAGTTCTCAGTCCTAGGATCTTATGCCCTGTAAACAGACACCCTTTCGACGTTTTCTACGCTCAAACTAGGATTTTGTTACACTAGATTCAGCACATTTATATCATACATATCCCTCAAGAGGTTATGTATTCAAAGCCTATTTTGGTTAGGTCTCCTTGAAGAATAAGATCAGGACTGTGCTGGAATGAAAAATGAACGGCGTGAGGTAAAGTATAACCTAGTTAAGACATGATTTCCTCTATTTCCTTGCGTTATTGAATGAGGAATCAAAACTTCTAACGATAAATTAATAAGAAAACCATCTCTGAAGTCTTTTGTTTCGTTGTCCTTGTGTTTCCTGCAAACACTCATTGCAGCTCGATATTCATGCCTGCGTTGATGTTAACGGATGTATGCATCATACCGAAGCAGGAGGTACCAACTGTCTGCTATGCGTGACACATCTCCGCACTATGAGGAAGGCTTCCGAAAATTTGACATTTTATTCTTTAGGGAGCTCCAATATCGTCATGTTATACATGCCTTTCGATCAGAGGCCAACATTCATCTTCAAATCTGCACCCGGTCCAGACCATAACCATCAGCAGCGACCTAACCCCACCCATAGCATTACCTGTGCCCTCCCATGGAAAAATGTCACCCAAAACTCCATGGGTATGGGCATGGGCACCCAATGTTGGGCTCTGCTTTCTATCACACGAAGAGATTTCAGGGGCCATTCGGTCTCTTCGGATTAGAATGCCACGAAGTCAATCGGCAGCGAGTCTCTTTCGCCTTTTGCATCAGCAAAACTGTGACATAATATGGAATGGATTTGATCGTTTATTAATGTTTCCATTACAAATTACTTTATATGAAAATCCGGGTATTGCACTCATTATCTATATCTACTCAAGGGGATCTCCCTTCTCTTAAAGCTCTAGAGCCGAGTACACGGGGTGATCCAGAGAATTATCACGTTGGATATCAACACTCGTAGATTCGTCAAGTCTTGTTCGCACGAAAAACTCTTCATAAAATACTTTTGTTTGGTGGGAATGGTCGTATTCTTCGATGATGTCCCAACATGACTGTAAATTTAAAATCGACTTTCAAATTACTCTGATACTAGTTCGTTGATATCTGACATATGTCAGATCATATTCACACATCTTCCGACGAGTTCAAGATTCTGTACACAGTCATGAAAGAATATCATAGTTTCTCCATCATACTACGACAATCTGTAACCTGTATCGTGTGAAGAACACCAAACATTTGATGTTGTAGACCTCCTTCCCATTGAAGTAGTACAATGAGGTAGGCTAAGCTAGTTGCGCCTGAATGGAAACGTGGGAAAAACCATACATGCTACCGAAGGAAAAAGCATGAAGTCAGCTGTTCCTGAACGATTCAATAATCCTTCGTGCATGGGACACCGCTGTTACCGTGATCCCAGCCACTCGCTGAGGAAAAAAACTGATAGAAAATTCTTCTATAAAAGTGCAAATCTGAACGCTGCATTTGATCGGATCATGGAGCGAACGAAACAACTGCACGTCGTAACTGTCAAATTGTATATAATATTGTTCGAATTCTTAGAGCGAAATTAAAAATGGTGTTTTCATGGTGAGCCGCGTCATGGAAACCAGTGCACGTCACTCGGTCGTACAGGAATCATGTAAGCTGGCAAATTTCTCCCAAAACTGAGGAAGACCTGGAAGACAGGAAGACAGGGGAGATGCAGGATGTCTTGGTCAGCGAAGTAGTGGATGTATAAAACGCACACTCCAAATCCGTGTTGAGCACCAAGGCCGTGGACCTGTGCCGCTCAATTGAGTGTGAGCAGGGACCGGCAGACCTTGGACACTCGAGCTCGAGTAGGAAAAAATCAACAGATTTCAGTTTCGATAGAGTGAAAGAGAGTCTCGATGGAGAACGCATCGTTTGAATCTATTAAGGACTCCCTGGTGAGCCAATCATGGCCAGAGATGTGGAAGGCCATTCTGGCAATGGTTGTTGTGGCGGTGGTGACAGTCAAAGTGTTGGGTGGGAAGCGAGATGACAGGAAATACCCACCGGGTCCAAAGCCATTGCCAATCATCGGAAACATGAATCTTCTATTCGGCGATGTCCTCCCCAAGAAGTTGGCGGAACTGGCCGTGGCCAACAACTGGCCCATCATGACCTTCAAGCTCGTAAACAAGCAGAAAGTGTTCGTGGTATCATCTCCTGAAGTCACGAAGGAGGTTCTGGTGACTCAAGGCCAAGTCTTTGCGTCTCGATCGCCGCCGACCTTCGCACAGAGGTACATGGTATACGGCGAAGATGGTAAGGATGTTGGTGTGCTGTTCACTCACTACAGCCAGACATGGAGAACTAACCGGAAGCTCATGACCATGGGACAGGCCCAGCACAGGAAAATTCATGGTGACGCTTTCATTGTAGACCTGCTGCAGGTGCTCTATAAGGAGATCGAAACTGGCAAGGGAGCTTTGAGCAGGAATGGCGAGCAACCTTTTGAAATCCGGACGATGGTCTGCCGAGTTTTCCTTCTGAGAATCTTTCTGGTCTTCATGTTCGGGCCCGGAGCTGAGAAATATGGTGAAGAGCTGAATGCCCTCAATGATACTATGTTCTACTGTCTGGATATGTCGGAATTCGCCAAATGGTTCTTCCCCATGTTCGAGCCCATTTTCGATCTATACTGGGGCAGGATTGTCACCAGGAGGTGCATGAACTCCAAGTTCCATATCCTGGAGCAGATTTTCGATGACCGAGCTAAGTATGGCGGAGAGAAGTCATGGTCCTTCTGTGATATTCTCCGCGATGCAGAGAAGGAAGGAGAGATTTCAGCAAACAATGCCATGCACCTCCTCGACGAGGTCATCTTTGCAGGTCAGGAAACGACGGCCAAGGCCATAGAAGGAGCGTTCAAGGAGCTGGCCCAGCGGCCTGATATCCTGAAGAAGATCCAAGAGGAGATGGATCGTGTGATCGGAAAGAAGCCCTTCAGACTCGACGATGTAGAGAAGCTTCCTTACTTCCAGGCATTCATCAAAGAGTGCCTCAGACTCCACCGCACTCTCACAATCCTCGTACCCCATATGAATATGGAAGATGTTAAGCTGGGTGGATATGACATTCCGAAGGGATCTTCGATCTGGATCAACGTCTGGGCCATGGCTCACGACCCAAAGGTCTTTCCCGATCCTTTTGTACTGAAGCCCGAAAGGTTTCTCAACTGGGATGTGGGTCTGGCTGGTGAAGATCCAAAGTACATTGTCTTTGGCGCAGGGCGAAGAATGTGCCCTGGCACTCCACTTGCCATGAATTGCACCCATATGATCGTTGGAAGCCTAGCTCAGAGGTATGACATGAGATTCCCCACGGACTGGACAAAGGACAAGGTCACCAAATTCGGCTTCATTCCCAAGGAACGTGCTTTAGAGATTTGCTTCACTAGGAGAGCAGGATTTTAGGTTCTAGCTAGGTTCTACAGGCTGTCCATGTTCGACGTTGTGATGAAGGTCGCATCAGAATGCTCCTTTGATATAGAATGCAGTGAAAGAAGCGAGTACATTTAGAATATATTCATCGTAAAGGCATCTAGTTTATCTTAGCCATCTATTGCACCTGCCACCTGAAGCGGCTCGAGAAGCAGTGATGATTTAATCATTTGATGCACTATCACAGTCCACTATCATTTGATTACCTATTGGAGCTTCGATTGAAACCTGATGTACGGCGAGTTATTCACTATCAATATGGAAGCGAAGATCTGAAATGATTCTGTATATACTGTTCACCTTCATCCTGTCATGAGCTTGAACAAAAAGCTGATTTTTTTCCCATATATTTTATACTGGAAATCCTGATGTCGTTGGGTTATTTAACAAAAATAATTATTCCCCATTTCACTCAAATCATTCTTGTCATAACTTGTTAGTCATTCCACTTTCTTCCTGGAAGACTTAGGATTTAAGCATACTACTTCTATGCCGGGAAAGTACAGAAGACCCATTCAGTTACGATGTGACAAACTGTCGTATGGCCCCGGTGAATCTCGGAACGAACATTATTAATTTCGTTACGACTTCAACACCGTGGAATTCCCGCAACTTGACAGACAATCTACCTCTGAAGCAAGGAAGGTGCTACAAGGAAACGAACAGATAGTTGAAATTGTAGAAGATCATGTGTGATTATCCTTAAATTTGTTATCGTTAGGCGATATATGAGCTTAAATAACCGCTTAAAGATTTCCCTCTAACATGCTTACTCCATCTGTACTGTATATATGTTCCAGTCTTTGGTTGCAGAAAACAAAGTACATAACGGTACAAGATCTCCAACGAAAGTCTTGGTGAGAAATCTACTGCAAGCTATGTTCTGACGACAAACTGGATTCACTTACCATTGATGTTTTTGTTACACAGATTATATAGTATGAGGATTCGCTCAATTTCAGAAAGTGTACATATCCTGTTTGCTCATTGAAAAAGATAGACCACGTTTCATGTTCTTCATAAGTTGAGACTTGAAATGATCAATTTTGGAATTTGCGAAGCAAATTGAAATACATAGCTTACATTAGATCCGAGGAGGCAGTGAATGTTGATAATATATATTTGCTATCAAGATTGAAGTCGTTATTAACTACACAGCTCCAACAGGCTGGCGTTCTGAGATTTCTTGTATAACTGCAGACAGTTATGTAGATTCAGATTCTAAAAACATGGATCGACATTATGAGTCGCCATGGTTGAAAAAAATATAATTTGTAGGTGATATCTTATTGCAGAGAACGCCGCAGAAACTGTTTACGACCACAAAAGAAGATTAACTTCAAATCGCATGTAAATATAGGTATTTTTTAGTCTTAATCTATTCATCTACGGGTCGGCCCCGTAGGGAGCGGGCGCCACCCCAAAGAAGGAGGCCCGGAGGAATTAGGAACGTATTCAAGTATTTAGGAACGTTGTTGTGCTATAGAAGTCGTTTCTGAAATTCCATTCGATGACAAGGATTTGTTTCCTTTCTCAATAGTCACTTAAGCTATAATGTGATGAGGATCATGCATGACATGCATTTGAGGTCATGATAAAAAGAACTTGTGCCACAATGCAACACATAGCGATGAGTATCGTAAACTTAGGCTAGATACATGCAAGTCTTCGCTTGACTGGTTCTTTCAGGTGGCATGATCGGTTCTCGTCGAGGTCCATAACATATGAGGCTGAATACTGTAGCAGCGTAGAGATCGTGTCCGCTTGGGGGAAGGTGGATATAAAATGACACTCCAAGAAGTCCGGCTCAGATGTTGCAAAAGCTGAACTAAGAACTTCACTAGGAGCTTTTATCGATCCTTGCACGTAAGCGTATCCAAGGACATCTTTTGCCGAGGGTTGACAGGTCAATTGGAGAAGTCCTCACACTTGGGCTGATGGATGTTAGAAGTGTGGAAGAAGCTAATGTGCTCAAAAGTCTCAATGAACACGTGACGACAAAAGGTAGGGCCGATTTGATTTTATGAATTTGAGGCTACGACGGGCACAGTGGTTGCCAGAGGTCTTAAAACAACTGTTCGGTGCGGAAGCCGGACCACTCGGTAGATAAATTTCTATAGTTGAAGAACCGTGGCGGCGCTTTTTTGGCACGGGTCTGTCCTGAGGTGTGAGAGTAAGTTTGAGCTAATGAGTGAGAGAGTCCTGGAGGGCAGAAAGTACATCACAGGAAATAATTAGACGAAGGGCGACTTCCATACCATACGTACAGATTACAGAAATCTATCATTTGTCATAGAGCAATTGGATAGAAAGTTGAGAATTCACAGGAAACTGAGAGTTGATTTCCATTCTTGAGATTATAGAAGATAGCATCAGATTATATTCTAATACTTTCAACGTGAGTTGATGTATGATCTAAAGATCATAGATCAGTTCTTTTCAGCAACATTCATGTTTCTTCGAGCTGTACTGTATATACGTTCCAAATCTAATTTCGATAAACAAATCAACTGTATGTTACTAGACTCGATATAATTGTTGAGAAATCGAATGTAAACACAGATAAAATCGTGGTGGCAAACTGGATAGCTTACCATCGATGTGGTTGTTAAACATATTAGATATTCTGAAGAAAGTAGCTAGATAGCACGATTTATATTCTTCATAAGTTGAGATTCGACAGTTCTTTGTACAATAAGAAGCTACTGTGCAAAGCAAAGTGGCATCCGGAGCTTCCACTAGATCCAAGGAGCCAGTGAATCTTGAAAAATATATGTTTGCTGTCAACGTTGAAGTCGTGGTTCATTGACACAGCGGCAACAGGTTGGACATGAGATCTCCTATTAAACTACACAGTTATGTAGATCCGGAGGTTTAGAACCCCGATTGACATTATGCGTCTCCATGGTCCTAAAAAACAATTCGGATTTCAAGTGATACTTGGGTGCAGAGATTGCCCCAGAAGCTATAATCGATCCCAAAAGAAAAATTGACTTCAGTTCGCTAGCTTGATAGTAGTCATAGCTTTTTTATGCTGTAGAGATCAGCTCTTGTGAATTGACTCTTGTATAGACCGTATGCATGACAAAACATGCAGAGAGGGCTAAGTAGAAATCGTAAACTCACTATCCCTCAAACACATATAGCGTTTTAGAATGGTATGAAAAAAATACGAGTGCCTGAAGTAACTTTTTAAAAGTGTGCTGGTTGAGATCTACATGGTTTCTTTGCTTCTACTGATCCTCAAAACGCTTCTGAATTTGAAATAGTGAAAATAAGCGATTTCTGAATGTACAGCTGGTATTTCAAGTATCATATCCATTTCCAAACATAGCCACGTAAAGCAAGTAATCAGAACTGAAGTATCTACTTGTGAACTATAACAACATTACGGTGACCTCACCGATTTGGGAAATCGGATTTGTATCATGCTGGAATGTGAATTGATCGAGTTGGGAATTCATTATTATAAATGATACAGTCTTTGCTGACACCGATCTGGAATTTCATTCGAAATCCCAGATCTCCTCTAAGAAGATTTATTCTGAAATTCCATTTGATGACAAGGATGACAAGGATTCCACTTTAACAATAATGTGAGATGTATGAGGCTCATGAGTGATATACGTCTGAGGCCGTGATAATGATAAAAAACTTCGGCCACAATGCATGAAGTAGTGCTGAGTGTCGTATGCAAAAGCTTGATTCATGCAGGTCTTCGCTTGACTGGTTCTTTTAGGTTGCATGATCTAAAATCGTCAAGGTACATAACGCCTGAGCCTGATTACTGTAGCAGCGTAGAGCTCGTGTCAGCTTGGGAGAAGCAAGGGTATATTAAGGCAGCCCAAGAACTCAGGCTCACAAGTTCCGAAAGCTCAACTGAGAGCTTCACTCGACCTTTGCACGTAAGCTCAAATCTAATGACGTTTTGTTGCCCGGGGTTGATTTGTCAGTCTAGTTTTTTTCTTCACCATGTCATTTTTTGGGTTGAACTTTGTCCATAGAGCTTCAATCTTCCCGTCGAATCTCTCCAGAAGTTATAATAGATATCGCATTTCGAACTGTCGGTGCATTGTATTCACAAGTATTGATAACATGGCTCTGTGCAGGGAGGTAGCTGTGATCGTCTGTGACGATTTAGCTACCTTTGTCAGGTCGCAAAAAACTGCAACTTTTTGTTAATCGGAACAAGTGATTTGGAAAAATGGCCACCAGTGGTTCCCAATGGTTCCTTTGGACCGCTACAATTCTTCTGATAGCCGTGGTTTCACAAGGGCAGCTGACCACAGACTTCTATGAATCCACGTGCCCACAAGCTGCCACGATAGTAAAGCAAAAGGTCGATGAAATCGTTGACGCTGATAAGGGAATGGCTGCAGGTCTGATGCGCCTGCACTTTCATGATTGCTTCGTTCGGGTAAGCTCACTTTCAGAATGCAGCTGCCAGATTGCGGTTGCCACCCAGAATTGCATTGAGAACTGGTTTGTGCTTCAGGATCTCTTTGGATCGCTTCATGACTGAGACTGCGCGTGCAGGGCTGCGATGGGTCTGTGCTTCTGAATTCGACCAATACTACACTTGCCGAAAAAGAAGCGCTCATAAACAATGGCTCCCTTCGGGGATTCGAGCATATCGACGATATAAAGATGGAGCTAGAGTGCGCATGCCCAGGTGTTGTGTCATGTGCCGACATTTTGGCCATGGTGGCGAGGGACGCCACCGTTAAGGTACAGACTTCGGAGGTCGAATTCACGTCAGTCAGTCGGAGTATGAGCATGAAAAAGTCAGATCATAAGTTTGCGGCCTTGGCAGAACCTTAGCTTGATCTCTGGAACTAAATCTCGCGTTGTATCGCGCAGCTCGGAGGCTTGAGCTGGCCAGTGTTTCTGGGCCGCATCGACGGAGCAGCTTCAGTTGCAGACGAAGTCAACAGCAGTCTACCATTCCGGACTTACAACTTCTCGCAGCTGGTTGCGACTTTCGCCAAAGTTGGACTGGACACCAAGGACATGATCGTCCTTTCAGGTGTGCTGCTTCAGTCCTTTGAGAATCTTCCAAGTTATATCATGCCATATTAGAGCCGACCGCTTATGCATGGTCATATGTACAGATTTGTCGTTGCATGGGAAGCATGTGTTGTGCCATTGATGATTTGAGAGAATGTGCTAAAGCAAGTAAGTGCCAAGGAGTTGCTGTCTGTCAAAGACCTCCATCTGCAGGATTCTCCAAGGTTTGTAACGCAGTCTTCTCTGTGTCCCGCGTGCAGGCGGGCATTCTATCGGACAACTGCACTGCGGCGCATTCTTCGAGCGTTTGTGGGACTTTGAAGGTCAGAATATCACAGACCCATCGATGGACCCGGAATTCGCTGAGTCTCTCAAGGCCCAGTGCCCTCGCGACAACCCTCTCCTCTTCAAAGGAGCCGATTCCACGAACGCCACATTCGACGCCGTCTACTATTCGGACCTTCTGACCCAGAAAGGCCTCATGGACTCCGACGTGGCGCTGATGAGCGATCCCTTGGGAGTGGAATACGCCCTCAAAGCTGTGCAGGACCCGTACTCTTTCCTGTTCGAGTTTGGAATGGCCATGATCAAAATGGGCAACATTCCAGCGAGTGATCCTTACGGCTGGAGGAAGAATTGTGCAGTCATCGAGCCACGCAACTACTGAAATTTGTAGAAAACAACGTAGAGCCCGTCTCTTCAATGCAACCGGTAGGGTACTGCACCTCACGTGCATTCTATCCAAGAGAACAGGCTTCGAATAAGACGAGTCCGAAGTTCTTTTGCAAATTCATGATCTTGATTGAATCAGATGTAAATACGATTCACATCACTTCACAAGACATGTAGAGTTCGGTGAGTGCAAAGTGTCGCCCATTGGCGACAAATACTGATTGATTACGTTGAGAGTATCTATCTCAGCCATTTGATAAAACAATAAATTTGCTGCAATAATCTTCGAATCTACAAATCTTTCCACATGCGTCGCAGCAAATGTACTTTCATTTACTATTCAGGAATTTTCAGTCAATGTTATGTATCATTCAGTGTTTTTGATTGCCATCAATGAACATCACAAAGTTTGAATAACCACCGAAAGATATAAACTCAATGATATCCCTGGGGTTTGAATGAACCACTTTTATAGGCTGTGTAACTCTGGTAGACTGTCTCACTGGAAATTGGTCTATGATTGGTTTTGCGATGTGGGCAACTAGTACAAGAGAAGTAGGGGAGGCTGGGAAGATACCCCATTTGGCCAAATGATATGAGGATTACTCATCAAGTATGCCATATACGCGCTCTTGACAAAAGAGCGACATATTGCTGTATATAAACTAGAAGGTTTGTAGTCAGACGGTAAGAAACTCTAGACATTAAGTAACAGATAATTTCAACTAGGAACAAAAAATTCTAAAACAATTCGAATCTATGAGTATATTGATACTTCGTCCATAAAATGATCGATGCAAGGTTAAAAGATCCAGTGCAAAATCTTTCGCTAAATATGGACTCATTCTCGACTTTTATAAATTTCAGGTTTACATCCTCAATCTTCCAAGTGTTTTGAGAGTATTCCTTTACATTTGATGAGATAACTTCACATCTAGAAACTTCTCACTGCATTTTTTAATATAGAAGCAAATCATTCATATTCCGATGCAATCGTTCTCATAACCTGAAACATGGACAGCTCTAGAACCTAATTAGAACTTATGGTCATGCTCTCTCAACAATATAGACCATAATGCAACTTAACTTGGGATGAGACCAAATAATTAAAAGCCGACTTCATTTCTAAACTTACTTTGACTCATCAAAAACAAATCTTCCCAATCAATGTTCTATATCTCTTGACTATAATCTCTCTTCATCGCTGTTGGCCACGATATTGCATATCACGTGCCAAGATATCCTCTAACGCCCATGAGATTCGTTGTTTAACTAAAACTTCTTCACACTTCGTTGGACAAATATAGTCATATTGTTATGCCACAACAACTTTAATCAAGCAGACTTGAAGGTGTATGCGAACTGAGGTGTAGTGTTTGTGTACAGATGTACTGTAAGAGAATCATCCAATGACTCTACATCTCATTTATTTCGGGACTTGCGTATCCTTGTAGCTTGAAATTTGTAGAATTTTACAAGCAACATCCTTATACTCTAAACATTCACTAATCTGTTTTTCATTGTACAGTATTGTTAAAAACAATCCTTATAAATCACATCTAAGAGCTTATTCACAAATAAGTGCAATCGGACCCGTCTGAGATAAAATGAGGTCAGATATGAATGCTTCCAGCCGTAATAATTCCGTTGTACGCCATGTAGAGCTGAAATGTTCAGCCTCCATGATGAAACGGCAAGAGTCAACAACGATCGGGCTAAAAGCGTGTTCTACTAGAGACTTTCACGATCCGAGTCTTTGAACCTCGCCAGCCAAATCATGTCGCTCCCATGAAAAAATGTCCGAAACCAATATTCTCTCAGTCGGTTGAGAATAGACCCTGGGGAATCAAAGAAGGAAACAGGTTGACATCCGAGCCTCTGTTGGAGTTCTCGACTGATTCCTCTTCATGAGCAAGAGAACCCGTCAACGTGGAGTCTTATACTCCGCAAAGAGATTGAAAGGCTCGGGGCCTTGACAAGGCAAGCTCGAATCCCGGACCGAGCTATGGTCGGTCAGCAGATGCCACAGTCGAAATGCTCAGTATGCTTTAAAAAAAATCTTTTGCCTGTTGAAAGCTGACACGCCATAGCGACATTCGACAGTCACATTCACCTCCTCTTCCGTATAAGAAAAGCAAACTGTAAATGTATTGACTGCGTCATATCCCAGGAATCAGTTTTATCTCCTGAAGGATGGTCGGGTGCATGTCGCCAAACCCAGTAACATCGTTTCAATCTATTCGCGCATCAGTTTCTGCACGACTTCACGTCATGATCAGGTGCTTACTTGACATCTTACCTCCCCGATTGACTGTAAGTCAGGACTGAGCTAACATGGACTATTGTCACCACTTGGGCATTAAATTCTGCCATGTTGTACATTGTAGTCTCTAACTCTAGCTCCTTTTCTAGTTGCAGCTTCTTCAGTTGCGATTTTCGAAATATTTTTTTCTTACAAACATTTATTAAATATTTCGAAAAGAACAGAATTTTCTGATGGAACTACGCCAAGTTTTTCATATGCGTACCTGCATGTCATAAAACTTTATATTTGGCTGCAATAAAAAATTTCGTGCTCTGGCAATCGAAAGTTTTGATATGCAGTCGTTTTCCGATGTGTCTTCTTACTCCAGGTCCAAATCCGTACTGCATGATTACCTAGTTGGTTCATTTCTTGTGACCTTTCCGTATGGACAGCAATACACAGCAGAGGCCACACAAAGTTCAGGGGTGACCCGTCCCCAGTCCCAGAAGAAAGGGTGAGAGCTAGCACAGTTGACATGAACATATGGTACATTTCCAGAACGATTCAAATTCCAATTCACAATTCTATTACATTTTTCGGTTCAGTGAGCCCGTTGCCCAGAACGCACATCGGAATGCACCATCTACAAGGCTTTCCTTATATTGATTCTGCGCGATGATAAGTCTCACCGTGGTTACAGATTTCGGCAAGTCGGACTTGGCACGAACTGGATAGAGTTTCGACCCTACCTATTTCGGATTAGTTTCCTTCTTTTATACCCGTGGCATTAAAGGTCGTTGAAGTGATTACAACTAACGTCAAATCTTCAGCGATGCAAACGAACATGACAGTTCGATGTTACTTCTAAAAGATTGTAAATTTTTCATTTTTATGTCCGTATAATAATTCTCTGTGCACTAAAAATTAAAGTCACTGAATATTTCTAGTGAGTAATAAACATTAATTATGACTAGATACATATTTCTCAAATTCATTTAGTCTATAAAAAACATAAATCCACACAAGTCAACTCTGTACGCGAGCTCTGGGTTACTGCAAGTAAGTGGGCTTTCTCCATATTTCGCGGTCTCTTTAAATGAAATTCGTACACGAAAGGAAATTCACTGCCACGCAATTGGGAAGACGTATGGACTTCAACTTTATTGGAGCAATTTTCTGGTTATATAAACGGCTGAGATAGATACTGGCTACGTAATCAGTCAACATCTGTCGCCAAAGTGCGAAAACTTGCGCTAAACTTAACCTACATGTCTTATGAAGTGATGTGCATCACAAATACATGTAATCCAATCGAGATAAAGAAGCTGCAAAGGTGCCACGGACTCGTCTCATTTAAAGCCTGTTCTCTGGGAGAGAATGCACGTGAGGTGCAGTACCCTTGTTGCAGTGAGAGAGTTTCTCTACGTTAATTTTCTACGGATTTCAGTAGTGGCGTGGCTCGATGACTGCGCAATTCTTCCTCCAGCCGTAAGGATCACTCGCTGGAATGTTGCCCATTTTGATCATGGCCATTCCAAACTCGAACAGAAAAGAGTACGGGTCCTGCACAGCTTTGAGGGCGTATTCCACTCCCAAGGGATCGCTCATCAGCGCCACGTCGGAGTCCATGAGGCCTTTCTGGGTCAGAAGGTCCGAATAGTAGACGGCGTCGAATGTGGCGTTCGTGGAATCGGCTCCTTTGAAGAGGAGAGGGTTGTCGCGAGGGCACTGGGCCTTGAGAGACTCGGCGAATTCCGGGTCCATCGATGGGTCTGTGATATTCTGACCTTCAAAGTCCCACAGACGCTCGAAGAATGCGCCGCAGTGCAGTTGTCCGATAGAGTGCCCGCCTGCATGAGGACACACAAGAGACTGCGTTACAGCTTTGTCGAATCTTGCAGATGGAGCTTTTTCCTGATTCCTCGAGGCCACTGATCACTTCGGGGAAAAAGTAAAACCTTGTAACTTGCTTTCGCACACTTTCTTCAATCGTCCATGGCAACGCATGCTTTGCAAGCAACCAAAAATCTGGACATGTTACCGTGCTCTGATATGACCTGATATAACTTGGAAGAATCTCAAAGGACTGAGGTAGCACACCTGAAAGGATGATCATGTCCTTGGTGTCTAGTCCCACTTTGGCGAAAGTCGCAACTAGCTGCGAGAAGTTGTCAGTACGGAATGGTAGACTGCTGTTGACTTCGTCTGCAACTGAAGCTGCTCCATCGATGCGGCCCAGAAACACTGACCAGCTCAAGCCTCCGAGCTGCACGATACAACGCGAGATTTATTTCCAGAGATCAAGCAAAGGTTCTGCCAGGGCCGCAAACTTATGATCTGACTTTTTCATGCTAATACTCCCACTGACTGACGTGAATTCGACCGCCCAAGTCTGTACCTTAACGGTGGCGTCCCTCGCCACCATGGCCAAAATGTCGGCACATGACACAACACCTGGGCATGCGCACTCTAGCTCCGTCTTTATATCGTCGATTTGCGCGAACCCTCGAAGGGAGTTGTTGTTTATGAGCGCTTCTTTTTCGGCAAGTGTAGTTATTGTCGAATTCAGAAGCACCGACCCATCGCAGCCCTGCACGCGCAGTCTCAGTCATGAAGCCATTCAGAGAGATCCTGAAGCCAAAACCAGTTCTTAATGGCAATTCTGAGTGGCAACAGCAATTTGGCAGCTGCATTTCTGAAAGTGAGCTTACCCGAACGAAGCAATCATGGAAATGCAGGCGCATCAGACCTGCAGCCAAGCTCTTATCAGCGTTAACGATTTCATCGACCTTTTGCTTTACTATCGTGGCAGCTTGTGGGCACGTGGAGTCATAGAAGTCTGTGGTCAGCTGCCCTTGTGAAACCACGGCTATCAGAAGAATTGTAGCAGTCCAAAGGAACCATTGGGAACTACTGGTGGCCATTTTTCCAAATCACTTGTTCCGATGACCAAAAAAGTTGCAATTTTTTTGCGACCAGCCAAAGGTAGCTAGATCGTCACAGACTATCACAGCTACCTCCCTGCACAGAGCCATGTGATCAATACTTGTGAATACAGTGCACCG